TTGTTCTTAAGATTCTGAAATATATAAGCGCTTACCTTTTTGCTGTATATCCATGACAGAGGTGATATATAAAGTGGGCTACATTCTACTTGGAAAATATTATGAATCTTTTCATATATTCAGAAATACTGAAAATTTAAAAGGGTTGAAAATGGTGACCTAAGATGTGATCTGCTCTCCACACAAGTCCTATAACTAGATAAAGAAAACCCAATTAAACAACTGAGTCAGAAACATTATACTTCTGCACTTTATGATTGTAAGCCCCCTTGATCCTGTGGAGTAGGCAGCATCCAAATACTTAGAATAAACAAGTAAAATGCAAAGATCCATAGGTATTTTCCGTTTTAAGAGATGACATGTGTGAGTATAATTAAGTGTCTCCTGGTCCAAGAATGGTCACAACTGCCAAACCAGCTTTGGGCTGTTCTTGCAATAGCTTCCATTTCTTATTTTAGCAGCTGCCATGAGTACAGAAACACTCCCAAATTGCATACTTCAGGGAGACCATCTCATCTGAAAAGATTCTACACAGACAAGAAATCCGTCTTGCTAGGATTCAGTCTCAGCTTCTTGTACCTCACCTCTTTCAGTCTGTCCTATTGCAGTTCTTCAGGTTTTGGTTCAAGATTTCCACTATATCTCCAGTTTGGAGATATATAGCTGGTTATCATTAGCAAACTGATATCTCAAATTTATGGACAAGCTCTCTTAGCAACTTCATGTCACTGAAGAAAATAGAGAAGATTAGAGAGCTTGGGGACCTTAACACTGGTAAATCCATAGACCACATTCTCTCCATTAACATCCACTGAAATTGCCCACTTAGGAAGGAGCAGAACCATTGTAAAACAGTACCCTCGATTCCTAATCCTCGTAGATGGTCCAAAAGTGTGCCAAAATTGCTTTGAGTGCTGCCAAGAGATCTAGCAATGTAAAGGTGCAAACACCACACCCATCCAACGCCCACTGTAGATCATCCACAAGGCCAAACAGTGTTATTTTTGACTCATGGCCTAGGCTGAACCCAGACTGGAGGGGTCAGGATAGTAATAATTTATGTTGCAAGTCTTATCTGTGACTTTTTGGAATAAGGAAGGAAACCTGATTCTAATCAGATTAATTTCTTTGGGGAGAAAAATATTTCTTTTTCCAGTTCTTTGCTTCTAAATGTTGGATTGTTCACCGGTTTAAATGTTGTGTGACTTTATAAAAGTAAAGCTATATAGTGTTTCATTTAAGCTTTCCCAGATTAGAATTATTAGTAATGAAACCTTTTATTTGCTTCCTTTTAGGTTGAAAAAGTTTTAAAAAATGGTTGCCATCTTATTATCTTCCCTAATGGCACAAGGAAAGAAGTAAGCTACGATGGAAAGACTACAACTGTAACCTTTTTTAATGGGGATGTAAAACAAGTCCTGGAAGATCAGAGAGTCGTATGTATCGATCAAATGGCAGTCTTACATAATCAGAACTATGCATTAGCATTAACATTAAAACTTTTCTCAACAGATATACTATTATGCAGATGCAAAAACGATACATACCACCTACCCTACAGGTTTAGAGGTTCTCCATTTCTCAAATGGACAGATAGGTAAGCTGAGGAGTGCTTGCATGCAGTTATTGAGAATTCCATTTCTTTCGTACATACAGTGTAAGAGAAATCTGATGCATAATATATTATTGCAGAAAAGCATTTTCCAGATGGAAAAAAAGAAATTACATTCCCTGATCAAACCATTAAGAATGTATTCACAGATGGGCGAGAAGTAAATATTTTTCCTGATGGCACCATTGTCCACATGCAACAGTAAGGTTTTTACCCTGATAAAATATAATTTTAGAGAAAGTTTGATCTAAATTTAATTGCAAGGATATTGGGGGGGGGGGTATCATTAAGTCTGGCTTTGGGAGCAATCCAGGATAAGTGCTGGGTGGGGAGAATAATCTATCAAATTCTACTGGTAGTCTTTCAGATGACCATTTGTTTTGAGTCCCAGTCCATCTGCCCGTATTAAAGAGTAAAAGAGGGTGAGAAAGAGTTATGGACCAGAATAATTATTTATTCTAAGTGTAAGATTCTCCAGAATTACTACTTATTCTAAATTTAGAGTGCTCCCAAATATTTTTGACAACTCTTGTATTACCATATTAACTGTACTTTCTTGGACTGATGGCAGTTGAGACGTAAACAGTTGAAAAAATTAGGTTGATTCTAGTCATTTAGACTTTTCATAATAGAAACATAATGTGGCAAAGGGAGAAAAGGGAAGAAGCAAAATATATAGCAGGAAGATTATCAATATCAGAAATATAAAATAGTATTTGAGGTATGCGTATTTTATGGAAAATCACCTTGTATAGCAATTGAACTCAAATAGTAACTAGGCTAAAATCATATTCTTTTCCCCAGTTCTTAATTTTTCTTTTCTGCAGAATTTAATAAGACAAGGTATTGGTATTCTTTTATATTTTAATTCAGAGATGGAAGTAAGATTATAGAGTTCAGCAATGGTCAGCAAGAAGTGCATACTGCTGATTTCAAAAGACGTGAGTATCCTGATGGCACAATCAAAACTGTTTATGCTGATGGACATCAAGAGACTCAATATGCCTCTGGTAGACTAAGAGTTAAAAATAAGAATGGTGATGTTGTCATGGACACTCATCCTTGAACATTTCATGTTTTGCTGTATCTTAATATTTATCAACATTTCTTTGTTATATTTTCTAGATGTTGTCTTGTTTGCATAAAAATCTAAAAGCTCTATGTTTGTACACATGCAATAAACTTCCTAATAAATTATTTTTAAAACTCAGATGTCTAATGCTTATAGATTACCATTGCTGTACACAGCTTCATCAGGAACAAAACCCACTTCTCTAAAAAGACTAAACAACCTTGTTCCATCACTTCCGGGATTAATTAGCAGTTCTCTAATCAAATTGGTTGCCCTTCTCTGCACTTTCATTTCTCTTACTCTTAACATATCATACCTGGAATTGGACAACAGAAGTCCGACAAATGCAGAATATTGTAGAACTCTTACTTCCTATTGCTGGGGAAATGTACTTCTAAAATTGAAATCTAAAATAATATGAATTACAAATGCAGATTTACACTTGTCTTTGTATAGCCAATTGTGTACCAGTGATTTGATTTTTTTCTAAATAACTCTTTCATTTGACTATTAAATTTCACTTTTATTTTCAAACCATTTCTCTTGTATTAGCTACTCACCCAGTTTTGTATAACCTATGAATCTGATAAGCATTCATTCCACCTAAAATTTTTGGAGTATAGGTCTTGAACCAAATTTGTGGCATTCTATTTATGATTTCACTGTAATTTGTTAAGGAAGCTTTATGATCTTTCTTTGAGATTAGTTTCAAGCCAATTCCCTAATAGACATGCCATCTAGCCAAAAAATAATTAACCTGCTAATCATAATGTAATGGGCAACACTGTCAAATGTTTTGGTGAAATTAACATCTCCACATTTCTGTTAGCAAAGTTACTCAAATAAGCACAATCTGCAAATTTTCAGCTTGTATTAATCAGTAAAATACTGGTGTGAATCACTGGAAGAAAAAAACTGCAACCAAGTGTAAAGAATTCTAAATTCCAAACTATGTTATTAGATCATATCATTCCAATACAAATTTTAAAATAAAGAAGCAAGTATTCTAATTAGAGTGAAAATAATCAATCTTAAGCCTAGAAAAGCAGGCTCAACTACCTGGAACAGTTGAAAAAAATTATTTTTAAAACTGGCCCAAATTTTGGAAGCTTACTATAGGGACATAGGTGCCAAATTGTTTGCAGATAATATATTGCCAATTGTATTTGGTAGTCTGTAACAGCTTCTAAGAGATGATACTGTATAGTGGAGCTGATCTGCATTATCTTTCCTTTGTGTTGTTTGCAAGTGTCAGTAAAGTATACTCTTGGCAAAACAAATGGCCAGGAGTCTTTCTTTGCTACATGACTGAGTGGGATGGTTGACAATCATTTTCTGGTTGGACAATTTACATTGGTAGTCTTCAAACTTGGCAATTTTAAGATCTGTAGACTTTAATTCCCAGAATTCTTACTCAGCATTTGAAGCAACAGTTTTTGCTCTTGGGTCAGGAAGTTCCATGCTCGAAACCGTTGAAATATTTTTCCTATCCCTACTTATTGAATAAAACATAAACTACTATAAAGACATTTTGATGCAACACCAACTATTTTTATTTAAACAACCATCAGTACTTGAACAACTTAACAAAAACTCAACACTTTTATGTATTCCCAGAATTTACAAAAAACTATAACTATAAAAACTATAAAACTATAAAGATAGTTTTAGTACACAACCAGTTCGATTTTTTTCTAATGGAGGTAGTCTGCATCTGAAACAAACAAAAACAGCATTATTCCCATGTGAATTATTCCCTGGGAATCTAAAAATAGATACCCACAAACTTTCAAGCAATTAACTTCTACATAGTATTGCTACTGAGTCTCTTATCTTATTGCATTGATGATTGTAAAAAAGAGGGAACCATTTGGATAATGCAGTTATTATTCACAAAAAGCTATAAAAGCATTGGCCCTTTTACTGAACTTTCCTGTTTATTTTTTTTAATTCAGTTTTCTTTTCCGGTGCCTTTATTTTCCACCTTGTGGACTACAATTCAGATACAGCTCTTAACACCTTCAGTTTAAATCCACCTCTGTATGTGGATGATTTTATGACCGAGTTAAAAAAAAATGAAAGTTGCAATTTTATTTTATTTATCCCTAGAAATATTAGAGCTTACACAGTTTAAAAACATTTTCTACAAGAATTCCAGTATTATTTTTTTTTTAAAAAAAACACTGATTAAAATTAGTAGGATCCATTCATAAAGTTTTTACTTTCTAATTTTTTGCAAATTTTCAGCAAGATCGGTATATATATTTTTAATGCTGGTAAAGACATAGATGATAACCAATACTGGTTGCTTACCTATCATTGTGTCAGTTCTGCAAATCCCATTTCCACAAGCTTCATGTGAAAGAGACGTCCTTTTTCGTATAAAAATATAATATGCTCTGGTGCATGTGTCTTGGAAGCAAGGTTTTTCAAAATTGACAACAAATATAGTTTCAGAAGCAATATCAATATTTCCAGTAAGAAGTACACTATAGACAAGAAATCCCATTTTTTCCCACCATCTGAATCTTGTCTGCAGCTACATGCTTTTGCACTTGTCTGCTTGAAGAATTTGGGGAAATGATTTTTTTCCCCTACTGACAGCAATAGTAGGTACCAAGCCTGGAAGATTGCAATGGCAGTTGAAGCCCTTTTGTGCTTCACCGCAATGCACAAACAGCAAACAGTAAACAATTAGAAAAAAATGGATTTTGACCACCATGCTATAAATTCAAAACCCTTATGCTACCTTTCACAAAGATGAAAAAGAAATTTATTTATTTATTTATTTATTTATTTGATTTGATTTGTATCCCGCCCTTCTCCTTACCGGACTCAGGGCGGCTGACATTTGCAGCTTTGAGTACAAATCCAACTTATCAAGGAATTTGTGGTTTTGGCTTTTAATTTCTTCCTTGATTTTATTTCTTCTAAGCAGCTTCAATGGAGAGATTTAAATATAGAAGGGAATATACAGTTCCCAGATGAAAGTGAGATAAATTGAGAAGGATAAAAAAAAAGAAGCTTACCACTGAAGAAGCACTGAGGTTTTTGCCTTCAAAGCAGTTCATTGCAGCCCACAAGGCATCTAGGCTCCATTCTGAACAGTAAGGAATTCTCTCTGTTGCGGAATCATTTAGAGCAGGTTTAAATCCAGCTAGTAACACTCTGAATGCTTGAGCAGGATATTGCATGAGCTTAGGAGGAATCTGACGCAACCTGAAACACAGTTAGCAAGTCAAACTATACAAGCTAATAATTTATGAACATCTTAGATCAGACATGTCAAACACAAGGCCCAGGGGCCGGATGCGGCCCACGAAGTGGTTTCATGTGGCCCGCAAAGACATCCTGGAAACAGTGAGGGAACGGCCCCCGCTGCCTTGGCCCTGGCCCAGGCCGGCCGGGAGCCAATGTACAATTTTGTGGTGGCCATCTTGGCACTTGCCCCGGTGGACCATGCCTTGGCACTTGCCCCAGTCCTAACCCCTTCTGCCAGAGACCCTCAGATCTGTCCCACTCCTGCCCAGGCCCCCACAGGCACCCTTGACGCGAATGATGTAGAACTGGCCACGCCCACCCAGTAGGCCACACCCACTCCATCCACGCCCACCCAGTAGGCTGCACCCACTCTGGCCACACTCATCCGCCCCCCCCCAAAGGGCAACCGCAATGCTGATGCAGCCCTCAGTGAAATTGAGTTTGACACCCCTGTCTTAAATAGTTAAATCTAAAACAGTAACACTTATTGTCGCACAATATTTCTAGTTACTGAATTATTAATCTTGATAAAGCAATTTGAAAAAAAAAGAACATCTTTGGTTTACCTGCTTGCGGGCAATGTTTTAGTTGATCCATAGTCAACAAATTCCACAAGGACTGAAACAGGATTGAACTCAAGAATAGAAATGAGTTTTGCTCGATACCACAAACCATCACTATATTCCGCGAGGCAGGGCATGTCTACAAGGAAAGCAGGCCATTCAGTTAGGGGAATCTCTTTGCACCGGTTATCCCAAGGAGAGCATGAGAAAGATGAAAGGACAGGTAACTTGACAGCACGAAACTACAGGTGGTCCTCAAGTTACGGCCACAATTGAGCCCAAAATGTGTGTTGCAAAGTGGACACATTTACGTGAGTTTGTCCCCATTTTACAACTTTTCTTGCCACAGTTGTTAAGTGAATCATTGCATTTCTTAAGTTAATAACATGGTTGTTAAGTGAATCTGGATTCCCCCTTGACTTTGCTTATCAGGAGGTCGTAAAAGCTGATCACAGGACACTGCAACCATCATAAATATGAACCACTTGCCAAGCATCTGAATTTTGATCATGTGACCATGCTGCAATGGTCATAAGTGAAAAACAGTCAAAAATAATTTCTTTCAGTGCTGCTGTACCTTGGGTCACTAAAGAACTGTTGTAAGTCGAGGACTACCTGTATTCAACTGAGGTCCAGGTTTGTTTATTTAGCAACTTACCAATTACTAATATTTTAAAGCAAAATAAATATAAGGAAAAATTGAAGCCTTTATTGTACTGTGAGCTATACCAAGTTTATAGGATATTCTCCCCTTATTAGAGAGATTGCCAGGGAGGGCAGACAATTTTTATGTAGGCTTTCTCCTCCAAGACCCAAATCCTTCTATCACCCATGCAGTGGCAAAATACTGTGTTGCGGCAATGTCCACAAGAAAAAAATTGGTTACAGACCTATAGTCGTCAATTTGTGCCAATTTTCAGGAGATATCTCTAATAATGTTTGGAACATTATATTTACTCACACATTAATCGGCTATCCACTCACGTAAACTAGGGAGTGACCCTAACATTTTTAGAACATGTATTTTCTTAACAGGGATGTTATTATTTACTATTAATGTTAGTACTATTTTTACTATTATTATTATTATTATTATTTAATATATTGTAAAAAGTGATGGCTATTGCTGGTCTATGACAGTAATAAAGTTTATTATTATTATTATTATTATTGATTGAAGCCTTTCTGGACACAACTTCTCCAGCAAATGTTTACTACACATACTCGAAAAATTGATGCAGAGAACTGGGAGAGAACACAGCTGGGTGAATGAATGCTTACTGGAGCTTGCTGGAGTTTAGCACCGAGCTGTTGGAGAGTCACACTTGTAGGAGATCTGAGATCTTGGAATGCCAAGAGTTGCATAGCAGGTCCCAAAAGGAGACGATAAAGCTAGTGAAGTGCTTCTGCTTTGGCTATGGTGGCTGGGTGGAAAAGGTGATGGGTTGGGAGAGAAGGCAACTGGACAAACTAATGCTTGCAGGTGCTTCCTGGGGTGGCCGAGTCTACCCAGGGCATGGCAAGCAGCCCCAGAACCATGCAGTTCTGGAAGTGTTTGCCACCCCACAAGGCAGGGTGCCAGGCAGTCAAAAGGGGGGGGATAGGCAGGTAGGGGTAGCTGACGTGCCCTTGCAGTCTAAGCGTGAGCAAGCTGCCAAGTGCTTGAATTTGAATCACATGACTGCAGGACCACAGCAAGGGCCCTTACTTTGAGCACAGGTTGTTAAGTCCGTATTTTCAGCACCACTGTAACTTCAAATGGTCACTGAATAGTTGTAAATTGAGACCTACTCATAGTCCAAACAAGAAGTGAGTAAAGCATAAGTGACAAATGAGAAAAGTGCAGGAATGGGCACAACTGACACACACAAGCAACCTTTCCAAAGGCCATCTTAACCCTGGATGCAATGTACTCTTTGAGGTAATATCAATCAATTTGGCTGGTTTTGAAAGGCAACTGGACAATTTCATGAAGAATTATGATATCAATGGCTATTTGTATTAGATGGCTGCTAACTAACTCCTGAATCCCAGGCACCAAACCTCAAGTACTGGTTTGCTGGGAAGTGACAGCGGAGGAGGTTGTGAGTTTCCCTAATGCAGTGGTGGCGAACCTATGGCACGGGTGCCAGAGGCGGCACTCAGAGCCCTCTCTGTGGGCACGCGCGCCGTTGCCCCAGTCCTAGGCCTTCAGCTGGGTTTTATAAAACCTTTTCGCTTTAGGCCTCCGCCGCCGTGTGCAAAAAAAAAAAAAAAAGGTTCAATCAGTCAATTTCAGCTTCTCGCGGGGAAAAAAAAAGATCTTGCAAAATTGGAATTGATTGATTGAACTTTTTAGTCCCACCCAGTCTGCTGTTACCACTGCAGCCACGCCCACCCAATGGGCCACACACCCCAATGGGCCACACCCACCCGGCACCCGACGATGCATAAGTGGGTTTTGGGTTGCAGTTTGGGCACTCGGTCTCTAAAAGCTTCGCCATCACTGCCCTAATGCCTCCATTTGGCATGTCTCCATGTGGACAAAGTGGGCTTATGGCCCAATTCAGCAAGATTTTCCTTCTATTTTTAAATGTGGGAAGGAGCTCATGAAAACTGGGACACATGATTTTCAGGCTTCTAAGCAAACAGGGGAGAGCCACCTTGAATACAACTGAAAATATTTAAAGCAGGCTATTACATATTTAGCTTCTAAGTACTATACCTTTTTGAAAATCAGTTGGACGTGGAAGAGTGTCTATGTTCTGATTACATTGAGCCAAGGCTTTCTCTAGAGTGTCAGAATCCATCTCTCTCTGTTGGCTGGTACTGTTTGAGTGAACAATGGAAATATAGACCTGGGGTAGAGGAAAATATCTGTATCAAAAGACTGTAAGATTAGAAATATGTTTGTTCATGTAAAAGCAAAGAAAGTTAGATCTAATACTGTATCAAGAGATAACCTTCCTGATTTTAACCAACGGGGAGCAGTTTGACAAATAGCCAAAAAGTAAATAATAAAACCTAGTGCAACAGCAACATCGTTTATTTTCACATCCTGGTGAAAAAGGAATTTCTGAAGGGAATGGCCTTCCTTCCCTGGAAGGCTCTATTTTGAAAGCCAAATCACTCACACTCAGGATTTGGGTTATTTATTTAGGAATCAAGTTCCTAGAAACCAACTTCATTAAGAGCAAAATTCTCATTTTTTCCTTATCAAGTTATTATCAGGGAAGAGATCAGGTTAGTACAATTTCCATTACTGCATTACTTTTATTTTAGAATTCAGTTTATTTTTTCATTTGTTGGGGGTGGAGATATGTTCAGTTTCTTTCTAATACCGCTTCTCTGGCTGCTCATTTTCCAGACCACCTGAGGAACATACAGGTGTCTGTTAACATTTTCCTTAACTGCATCCTAAATTTGTATAAGGCTATGAACATGTTATGCTGCACTCCAACTGCTACCGAATTAGCAGAAAGTTAATAACACAGTAGCTGCCATATGTAAATATTCATATACTTATTTTCCTCTGCCACTCTGAGTTGGGTGAAACACTGATTTTTTAATAATAAAGGGGGGGGGGAGAAGACAGAAATATTAGACTAGTGAATTTAAGCAAGAATAATTTAATCTCTCAGGATTCTTCGCAAAGAATAAGCTTCTCTCACTCACATTTCATTTCTCCTTGTGTTATTCAACTATTAGGACTTGAAGTGAAAAAAAGGGGGAATGGTTGCAGGTGTATCACTGCTATGTATGTTTGAGCTAAAATATATTTGAGCTAATGAGATGGTGGCAGCTTACATTTCTTTAAGGTTCTCTAGTACGTGCACCAAGCACATCTATGTCTCCTCAGGAGTACCTTTTTCACTTCTAGAGCTGAAGAGCTTTACATTCCTTGTTTGTGCTCTAGCATTCTTCCTCCAGACTAAAGTTTTCTAGAGTGGAAGAATATAGCAGCTAGAAACAGGGGTTCCCAACCCCCAGGCCATGGACCGGTACTGGGCCGCAGCATGCTAGCAACCGGTCCGCACAAACAAGCAAAGCCCCATCCGTGGGATGCAGGCAGCACACAAAACTATACACTCTCCAGTCCGTGGAAAAACCTTTCTCCATGGAACCGGTCCCTGGTGCCCAAAAGGTTGGAGACCTCTGAGCTAGAATATTCAGATGAAATAATCAAGTCCTTTGACTTATCTTTACTCCTAGATGGTTTTGAAAGGTCCCGAATGGAACCTGATAAGCAAGATCTATAAACTGAGAGTATCTTCTGTAAATTAGAAGAAATGTACCAAAAGAGTAGGGAAGACACTGCTTCTTATTCCATCAGATACATCTTTTGTGTGGAACTGCCATAGAAACTCAAAGAAAAAAAACCCCTTCTCCTGCCTACCTGGTGTATTGTTTTATATAAAAGATTCCATATATTGAATTTTAAATTTTTATGTTAATAGTTTTTATGATAATGTATATTATTGTGTTATTGGTCATTTCCCATAAATTATCTCAAATTTCATCATTAAGTGGATTAAGTAGATGAGGAAAAACTCTTTGAATAATTTTCCCTTGAAGAGATGATTGCATTTCAGATATTTTCTTACTTAAACAGAGAAACAGAATGATCATGGGCAGGCAAAAGCAGTGTGAGTGCAAGCAACTTCTGATTTCCTGGCAGCTTCCCCACTGAGTTTCTTCCCTTCCCTCCCCCCCAACATTTTTAATTAAAATACCTCATTCGGTGACACAATGTGTGTTACTTTCACTGGAAAGTGTTCTCCAAGGATAGGCAATGATGCGGACATATATGATGGTAAAAGAGGAGTCTTTAGTTTAATATTCAGTAATCCCTAAAATAAGCAAATTATTAGAACACAATTGGCAAAACAACCCTAGAGAATGCCAACAATCTGTCCTGGAGACTATTTTGTATAGATTCCCTACACACATTCACATCTTATTTAGGGAGCAGCAAATTTCTCTACTGTTTTAAATACCGGGAAATAGGAGTTTTGGAATCTAGTTAATTAGTAGATTATTGCCACTTGAATGTATGAACATTCCTGGACCACTAAAAGGAAGAAAGCCAAGGCAATCTCCAAGGCTATTCCATTTTACAAAGCACAAAGCTATGATCCATCCTCAGCCTGGAAACAAACTGTAATGGATAATATGCTATTAGCTAGGCAGGGTAACAGTAGGCATCTAATACAATTTGTTTAAGGTATTACATACCCTTAAATGGATTTAGTGTTAAATCTTACCTCATAACTGATTTCACAATTTTCCTCCAAGGTTTCATTACTGGATTCTAGCATATCCTAGAACATATAAATTCAAATCTTAATACAGTATTAATTTCACAGACTCACATTAGAAAGCTCTTTAATGTACACAAAGCAGCAAAATTATTTTTCAGCAGAAAAATATAGGACTACCTATATTATGAAATAGCCAGAAATCATCAAAATTACGAACAAAGAAACTTTACATGAAAGAGTTTTGTGGCCTTCTATGTAAAATACCTTTTAACATTTGACCATCATAGTGAAGATTCTACAAAATTGGCGGCATCAGGTAACAAAAGGAGAATCAGATTGTACCATGACTTTATCTTTATGCCACATAATTCAAAGGTTAAACTTTGAATTTGCACAGTCACCAGCATGCCTTGCAGCTAAATGGTATAAACAATCCAAACTATTAGCAAAATAGGGATGAAATCTGAAGAGGCAGCCAAATATTCAAATAAATTAAATCGAAGTCAGCCACAGAATGCTGAATTTTCAAAAGAAAGGGGCCACCTACTCTGTAAGAACACAGAGCTTAGAGGATTGTAAAGCAAATTTACAGAGGAGAAATTAGTCACAGCATAACCAGCTCATTAAGCACAGGGTTTGTGGTTCCAAAGAGAATACTTAACCTTAACATTCAAAAAACGTACAAGGATAATGCTGAAACTAATGTCTGGCCCTATATAGATGATCTATATTTACCTCAGAAACCATGGTGTTATGGGGCTGATGCAATTATATTTTGATGGAGTTTGACAACTGTTCTGGTAATAAGATAGGTAAGAGGAAATACTTTCACAGGCAAAGTGATAAACTACTATCCTGAGATAAATTAGAAAATTGTTAGGGTGGAAAAATATATTATTAACTGAAAAAGAAAATGTGTATACACCCAATTTCCAGATACACTGCATCAACATGATTAAAAAAACCCCCAGATATTATGGGGATTGTGGCAACTCAGCCAGTAATACACAGAAGCCATTTTCAAGAATTCAACATGTTTTTTTAATATTGTGCTTCTTGCTTTCAATAAATATATTTATATTTGGGTGGCAATTTTGCAAATACCATAAGAATAATTTGGAAAGGGATTTAAATGGAAATATTTTCATTTTAAGATATTCATCAACAAGTAAGATTTAAACTAGAAATGCACAACCTGCGATCTAAGGCTACACACTGCTAAATGCAAAATCACACTGGTTGCACAGCATAAATTTAACAGCTCCCAAGCAAAGAAGTTCATGTACTTGTGAGAGTGCATAGGAACACTACAAAGGAGGAATTACATTGAATTTGATGAGGAACAATCACGGATTCAATGGAACAGCATAATAAGATTCTTGAAAATAGTAAGGTCTGTCTTATGGATTGTTCCTAAATTTGCAACTCAGTCCCAGAACAAAAATGACAATAGCAAACATTTTTATCTTTTTGTCTCCAAATTCTTTGTGAAGAATTTGTCTAGAAACTCCAAAGTCCTTGTTAAGAAAGGATCAATGCTATACTGCAGGGAAAAAAGGCTGTACACTAGTTCTGCAGTTTGAACTCCAGACTACATCTAGGAATGCTGTTTAGAACTGGTGATATAAGAGAAAATAGATGAGGTAACTTTACTATACCGTGTTTTTCATATCTCACCAATAACATTGCTTTTACTACTGATAACAAGTTTTTTTTATTCTAAAGGAAGATTTTCAATACTGACTCAACTTCTACCCAAAGACTACATCACCACCAATCAGCACTATGCTTAATAGCACTATACCTGGACAAGTAACTTGTTTCAGCATGAAATATTTGAGTTAAACTGTGCGTGAAAAGAAAAAAAATTACCCATGTTGGTATAGAATCACCATCATCTTTGGTAATACAATGTTTATGGAATGCCATGAAATAAGATAGTGACATCCCCGAAAACCAGAGTTTGACAGACACTTTCCCCGAAGGAAGATCTGACTGCTCCTGTTGAAAGATTAACAAACTCATTACTACCATCCCATTTGCTACTAAAACAGCTCTAAAAACAGGCATGGGCAATCCCTTCTTACGGCTGAAAGTCTGTAGTAATTTGAGATACTTGCTATAATGTTCACACATGACAAAGTGTATCATCAACTCCAAAACAAATTATAGTTGTTAAAGAAACACTTTCTATATTTACATGTGCATACAGGAAAATGGACTAACTCTTGGTAGTCTGATTTCAGGCCAAGATGCATCCAAAAAACTGCATTAGTTGAACTTGTGGATAACCTTTGGAGAAACTGGGATCAGGGGAACACAACCTTCCTGGTCATCTTTAATCACTCAGAGATTTTCAATACTTCTGGACTACTCCAGAGAATCAGAGTGAAGAGCAGTGTTCTTCAGTTCCATCAGTGTTAGTGGAGGAAGAGAGTTCTCCAATGACATCTCTATTGCCTCAGGGCTCTTTACAATAGTTGTCATTTTTAAGGTCCCATGTGGTTCTGTACTAGATCATATGGAACTTATCAAGAAAAAAGAATGAGAAGCTACATTCTTTTTACTTTTTTTCTTCTGACTCAAGTGAATATTTTTGCCCCTCCAATCCAATTATATAAGGTCAATTCCCTCCATTTTGTGAAAATGACATCTTACAACACCTTGGAAGCAGGCATTTTTGACTGCTACTTTCCATTCTTTGGCTCCTTATAACAATTTGATCTGCTGCTTCCTTCAGGTTTTAGGTAATCTATTAAAACTATCAAGCTTTTGAAGTGATTGAAGACTTGAACTTTTATTTGGAGGACCCCTAGATTACCTACCAACTTTATCCATGATAATGCAATCTCCTCCAGAATTAATGATGGAAGATCTCCAGATCTAGGGGACCTTAACACTTATAGCCACTCAGTCATGCTATTGTTGTGTTAAATCCTAGTCTTCCTGCTGGGTCCATTTGGAGCAGATTGAACAAATTGCTCCTTCCTATGGAGAACTCCATGGCAAACCTCTGGACAGCAATGGCTACACTCCCCACCCAGTGTTCCGGGTGGTATCACATCTGAAGTTTAGGAAGCCTATTTTTGAAAGGGGGATCTCCTCCACCATACCCAATCAGATTTCAGTAATGCATTTCAGGTTACCCCTATTATTCATTATTAGTTCATGGACAAGGTAGGCCTTATTAAGACCTTATTTGATGGCTGCATGTTTTTTGTGATTTTTCTTTCTGTATAATACTGGTATTGTACTTAGTTTATTTTATTGGTTAAATCTATTTATTTGATTAAGAGGGTTGTTTTTGTTTTTACCTTTAGCTCCCTCCCATAAGCCTTTGGTAAGGGTAGCACAATGATTGAAATAATAAAAGATACAGTATTTAGACATACCATTATGCGTATTTTAACTGATCTTTTTGTAAGTATCTCTTTAAGCAATTCAACGGCATCCTGCTGCCAAATGTTGCCAACCTAAATAATCATGAGGAAAAATACACCAATCGATTATCAACTATGAAAAGCCAATGGTCCAAAACCTCCATTCACAAGACTAGCTAATATGGAAAAAGAATGGTCAAGAAGCAGAAAATGATCAAGTTCCAGTTCACCCAAAACCAGAGGGTAAGCACAACTGCATTTTTTTTCATCACATACTAAGATGTTTTAGGGCTTAGGCCAAAGATCATCCATGCTCAATTGAACAGCCCTACCTGTTGTGATCTATCTAATTTTTTCACCTAAAGAACAACTGTTAAGAATGACATGAGCTCCTGGGTTGGCCAAAATGGTCTCATGAAATATTTTTAATTCCAATTGTTACTTAAGGCTTCTGTTGATGGAAGCCTTACATAACAATTAAAATCAAAATTAACATTTGGCATATTCTCTAAGATGTGAAAAAGGCAATGGAGGGTTGCTGTTATCCTGATGAGGTGTTTCAGTTGGAGCTAGAATGCCTCAAAAAGGCAAATATTGGAAAACAATCTTTGGAGCCAGCTGGAATTTCAAAGCATTGTCTTAGATGCTATCACAAATTGGTTCCTATAGGGTACAACTACTTACATTTCATAGAAAAGGAAAACTTTTGAGGCTACATGGCAATAGCTTATCAAGAATCAGAACAAGAGGAAGGAGTAGAACCTGACCCTCTCTAAATACAAACTTTTTTCTTCAGTAATACCTTTTAATTCACATCATTATTTTTCATTCCACATTCCACATTGCACAAGCGTAACTCATCAAATCCACACTTTTTCCTTGTTTCTCCTGTTATCTCTACTTGAGCCCTAATCTCCATGCTGCTTCTCCCAGATCAAAACCCATTTTTCTCCACTGAATTCTTGGTTTCTGTTTCCTACTTTCAATCAAATAAACCCAAGTCTCCCTTTTCCTTATAGTAAAATCACACCCTTCCCTTATTTTTGTCCACTGTATGTTGTAGGAACATGAAGAACTGCCTTTCAGCACATTTCATTTTTCCTTCATTGGAATACAGGGCATTCAGGCAAATCAAGCCTGGAGGTAGCTCTTTACAATCTTACTAAAGTGTTCTGGTCATTTAATAGAATTTAAATAACACTTAATACAGAAGGGGAATATGTGCAAATATGCTGCTTTCACTCTGCCTAGATGACAGCCTAGAAGATTTAATTTTCTCCGCTTTACTAGACAATGAGACAAGCAACAAGATCAGCTTATGGAGCAGGTAGGCGATTTGTGCTGGAACTAGAATGAAAACTAGCATTTTGCACCGCCCTAGAAATAAACTGGGGGCCAGGGACACACTAGATAGTTAGCAATAGTAACAGCCCCATAGTGCTTTATAGCATTTTCTGGTCAGTTTATACAATCAGCATATTGCCCTCAACAATCTGGGTCCTCATTTTACTGACCTTGGAGGGATGAAAGGCCGAGTCAACCTTGACCCGGTCAAGATAAAACTCCAGGCTATTGGCAGAGTTTAACTTACAATACTGCATTCTAACACCACCAGGGCTTGTTAGCATCGAACACTTTCATCTAATATTCAGCTTGTATGCATTTAAAGCCTACCACTTTCTAGTAGTGAGCCCTGGAAAACCTTAGACTTCCCAAAATTATTTTATCATTACAAAGTGGAATATGTACCTAACACTTGTTTCAAAGTGGAAAGGAAAAAAAGAGTGTATGCCCAATTCTGCTGATGATAGGCATGAACTACAATATTGATGCAATTACACTGCATCATGCAGGTAAATTATTTGTACACTTTCATATACTGTCTTGTAGAAATGCATTATGTTCAAATCATAGCATCTAACTCACTGGTACAGTTTTATACAGCTGACATGGTATAGAAAATGGAGGTATCTCAGCATACAAAATAGTGGGGTATAGATGGCATGGAGGAATCTTCTCAGTATATCCATAGTCTATATAAAGTACCTAGGAAAAGAAACAAAACACAAGACCAACTACATCAGTGCATTTCATGATGTAGTTCTTTTTGAAAACATTCGTCATGCACAAATGTACAAAAATACTGCCCACCCCATATGGGTTTAGGAAGTAGATGTGACACACTGATTCATACATAATGTTAAGAGAAGATATATTTAGTTGAATTAGTTTCTAAAATATAAGGGGCAATGATAGATTGTTTGGCATTTATCTGCATCATGTTTGTCATAAATGAGAGGCAAAAGGCACTAAAAAAAGGAATGCATCTTGTGAAGTTAACCTATTGTTGAATATCCTTCACATAAAATAGCAGAAATCTCATATTTTCAAGCATCTACTACCTGTGCAATAAGCAGTAGTAAGTATACTCAAAGGAATATACTTTTATAACAAAAGAGTATACTTTTATAAAACTGCCTTCACCAGGCAACTGGACTTTTTTTCCCCTTGAAGACATTTCGTTTCTCATCCAAGAAGCGTTGTTAGTTCTCACTGAATAGTGGAGGATGGAAGGATTTATGTTCCTTGCAGTCATCTAGTCATTAGCATTCTTTTTGAGAATCACTGAAGTCACTTGGAGGCTTATCTGTGCCCTCAGGGTCACCTGAATAGAGCAAATAGGTGTAGAACCTTATTGGAACTGCTGAAAGAATTGTGTTGTGAACAGGAGATAAGTGGTGTCTTATGAGAAGCGAAACTTCTTCAAGAAAAAAACAAAGAAAGTCCAGTTGCCATTTGAAAAAGCATCCTTGGGACAACCATGACCTAGATAACTGAGAATCTCCATAGACAACACTGCCTTCATTTTAACAAAACACAAGAAAAAAACACCAGTGGTGAAAACCAGAATGTTCTTAAAAACATCAACGTTACCTTTACAATGCCAGCGCCAACATCTTTAACTTCACCTCGGTACCACATTGTATCTGCTGCTCTTACAACACAAGCTTCTCCATTTTTCCAGTTATAGGGTTTCAGAAGGCCTAAACCTTTGACATTATCTTGTATATTACACATTAACTCTTTTAACTTTTGCTCTAAGAAAAATCCAAGCAAATGGTGTTAAGGTTATTATCTCTTTTAACAATTTTTTTTTGCTAAGATAATGCAATATGATCTTTGCATAAAATGCTTGAAATGTGAACAACATGAGGTAATATTTTATCTTGCTTAGTGAGTATGTAAAAAAGTTTTAAAAATTGGATACAAATACATAAATTTTGAAGATTTTAAAGGTAAAATACAATTGAAACCAGAGATTTTTCTTTAGAGATGAATGAATAAGCAACTGGAAAAATGTCATGGAACTGTTTTTATATATTGTGACTACAGCGGGACTATTTTATGCTCAAAAAGTGGATAATTATGGTAATACCCACAATGGAGGAATGGTTGGTAAAAATGGTGAAACTTTCAGAGATGGCTGAATTAACTTCTTTGTTTAGAGAAAAAACAATGTCTACATTTATGGCTGACTGCAAATACATTATAGACTTTTTGTGTAAAATGGAAGAAATGCATTTATGATTCATGGTTTCTATGATTAAAAAAAACTGGATAATAGAAAAGAGTAAGCTTTCTTTTGTATTTGTAGAGTAAGAAAAAAACCTTGTAATTGTATTTATATCTGCTGCAAAGGAAATTGGAAGTTTTCTGCACTTTTGTCTTTTTTATTTTCTCTTTTTTCTGTTTTTAAATTAATTTGTGCTAGTTTATATGTCCGTTGTAAAACTTTAATAAAAAGTATTTTTTTTAAAAAAGACAATGCAATACAAAGGGAAAAATATAAATGGATACAACCTCTCCCCCACTATGAATAAAAAGCATTGTGCAAAGTTTCTAGTGATACATTGATCTCTTCCCTTCCCTTCATGTTCCTAGCTGCTGACTGCAATTTAAATATTAAGGATTATTGCTAGCTTCTTTTTAAATGTTTTCATCTATTATTTCTAATAGTCTCATAACTTTTTCCAGAAACCATATTCCAAATGTCTGAATTTGCCTTGTGTACTGTCTCAATTTGGCTCAACTCCTATTATAGATATATACCATAAATTTTGCCACTGTAGTATATTTTCCAATTTTGATCTCCCAGTCTGATCATCATCAGCAATGTTCCTTTTCTCAAATACTTTTAATAATTCCGTATATAACTGCATATATGTTACTGCTAAAACATACAATATGCATACATGTATAAAATAATTAATTTTCTAGAGGACTCTGTGCTATCCTCTAGAACACAGAGCACAGAATTCATGTGCTATAGCAGGGTTCCCCAATCCCGGGGCCACAGACTGGTACTGGTCCATAGCTTGTTAGGAACTAGGCTACACAAGAGATGAGCAAGCAAGCAAAGGATCTAGGTTGAGCATCTCCTCCCCCCCCCTCAGGTCCATGCAAGATAATTTTTCTTTCAAAACTGGTCCCTGGTGCCAGAAATGTTGGGGAAGAACAGCAGCAATGCAGAAAGATACAGATGCTGCTAGTCATAATATGTCTTTCCACAACCAATTTATTGCTACTATGACAAATATGTTTCAATGCCTGACACTGATTGAGATCGGTGATTATAGAAATTAAACGAACAATGAGGTGGACTGTAAAGCAACATGTGCATGTCCAGAATTTCAGGTAACAAACATTTGTAATTTGGCCCAAGTCTTTGGAAAGGGCGACGCTTTAGATTGTAGTGGTTGTTTTTTTCTTTGTTCCTGTCCAGTTTTGTCATTTCTGTCATTTTTATTCTTGTTTGTTAAAAACAAGGAAATAAAGATCTAGAGTTGCTGGGAATTGGCAGTATGTAAATTTAATATATTATTATAGATGGGTGAACAGTCAGCCAGATACTTAAACTACATTTGGTATTTTTATCTGCCTATAGAGTTCTTCCCAAAGATCTGGGATAGGCAGAAGTTGTTTGATGGTGTTAGAAATATTGTTGTAGGATGTAAGCTGTTCCAAATAGACATGTCTTTTGCAATTGATTAAAGGTGATTTTTGCCATTGCTGATGGTGTTCAAAGGGCATTCCAAATGTTTTATGATTGTACTCAAGATGGTTGTTATATTATATTATGTTATGTTATATCAGTGATGGCAAATCTTTTAGAGACCGAGTGCCCGAAAACCGCCCCCGCCCCCACTCCGCCTCCCGTCCTGCCTGCTCTGCCCCCACCCTTCCCCTGCCCCGCCCACCTGCATGCACATCTCACGAAGAGTTGCTTTTGACATGATTGTCTGTAACAGTACCTATTACATTTATATATAATTCTTTGAAATTATGTAACATCTATCATAATTGTACAAATGCTTTACCTTGTGATGTGGGAATCACATAAATTGTTCCATTATCTGAAACACAGCTAACCGTAGCACTGAAGCAATCCGAGCTAGGAAGAGCTGGTAGTTTATAGGTCTCAACCACTAGAGGCTTAGCCACTGACATTTTCAGTTCTTGTTGCTTACTATCAGTATTTGAAGGATCAAAATGCTTTTCCAGTTTAGAAGGGCTTTCTTTTTCTGAAACCAGCTGGTTTATGTCCACATTCTTTTGTAGTTTACCAGAGGAAGCTTGATTTGGATGAATTTTAGGTGCTCTATTAGGATTCAACAAACGTATGTCAGCAAATTTTAAAAAATCAAATACGTATTCTGACAAGGAAGCCTGGCATTCTGACAAATCAGCCATCAATAGACACACAGACATTAACAACATCTATAGACTATGCAAAAGAGACAATCAACTAGCCCAAAAGAGAAAAAGACTCCAGCATATCCCCATCAGTAATCTGCATTCAGATCAGCATAGATTAACTCCAAGATCAATTTCAGACCAAGAATCAAGAAAGCAATACCTCAATCAAGAAACTGCCAAAGAGCCATTGGTAAACAGCCCAACCAAAGAATCCTTAAGACCGCCCCCCCACCCACCCACCCAGACAGGCAAAACACCAGAATATAAACTGACAGAAAACAGCACTCCTTACTAGCACTGATGATGCTACCTAGTTAGGGTAATGAAACATCTGCAAGGAAACAAGCAAGCTCAGAGAGCACCAAGGACCCCTCACATATTATTCTCCTCAAATACTGCACCTGGGGCCTAGTCACCATGGCCAACTGTCACCACGGTCAACTCACAACAGCCAACTTGCCGTGGGACAACTCACTGTGGGACAAAAGTTACACTAATATTGAAGAAATAGTGGAATAGAATCATTAAAGAAAGGATGCCAAAGGAGAGACAAAATGAAATGTGAACGACAAAAATTAAAATATTTTTTAACTATTTTAAATAATAAAATTGAATTGTTCCGCAGCGAGTTGTCTCACGGCGAGCTGCCCCACGGCGAGTTGGCCGCGGCAAGTTGATCGTAGCGAATTGGTTGTGGCGAGTTGTCCCACTCCGAACTAGCTTAAACATTTTTCTGTTGGTTTATAACTGAGTGAATTACAGATAAAAATTCAAGCATTAAATTTTATATAGAAAACAAGTATTTTAAGTACATTAAAAATGAATAAACACTATTTGGGTTTTTTTATATATATATAAAAAAATACGTACCTTTTTCTAAGTGCTAAGCCTTCTTTCATCATGTATTCTGAAACGTCAGTACAGTTTTGTCCATCTTTGCAAAATATTTTTACAGGCAAAGGTGACAAATCAGTATCCTGGGACAAATTAAGAATGTTTAGGGGTAAAAATCAATTATTCATTGAAAAAGAAAATGTGAAGATAACCAATTTCCAAATATTTACACACATCCAATTTTCAGACATACTACATCCACAAGGTGAGAAAATCTAGGTAGTTATTCTGGAATTTGTGGCAACTTAGTCTGTACACAGAGCAGCAGCAGTAAAAAAAAAAAGCAATCTTTTAAAATTAAAAAACATGTTTTAATTGAAAAACAAATTTATAAATACTGGGACACAAATATGATATTTGAGAAAAATTGAGAACATATATAAAAGAAAATATTTCATTTTTAGATGTTTGCATTCATCAGCAAGTTTAAACCAGAAATATGCAACCTGAGATGCTAAGGTTATCATCTTCCGCTCCTACAACTGTGGGTGGCTTCTCCAAATAGAACTATAGAATCATAGGGCTGGAAGGGACCTTGGAGGTCTTCTAGTCCAACCCCCTGCCCAAGGCAGGAGTCAAAAAAGTACCAAAAGAGGGACAGTTCTGTATAAACCAGGATGGCTGCCTTATTTGATTTATATTCTGCCTTGGAGCACAAAACAGTCCTTCCTCCTCCTCCTTTCCCCTATAATATCATCCCGGCGAGGTAGGATGGGCTAGAGAGAAGAACTGCCGTAGGGAGCTTCAGGGGCTGAAATCGAATTTCTCCAATAAGCAGCTACTTCGAACAGACCTGGCTTAGTATGACGGGTGGATCCAGCTTTGCAACCACCATGAAATTAAGCTGATAATTCACTTCTCAGCTGTAAGGGCAAGAAAACAAGGAGGGAAGCATGGATCCAGCCATGACTGGGGGAGTTGTCAGGCCTTGGGGAAGAATTTCTCAGGGTGCCACCTATCCTGTGGGTGCTACCAAAATCAAAATAAAATGCTGCTACCAAATCAATTTTTTTAAAATATGATGGATGGGGAAACAAATATGTGGCAAATAATCATATTAACAATAATATTGAATTAACTTAGGTAAATCAATTTGTCCTAGGTTCACTCATTCTTTGAAGGACAATACTTGGCAAAATTAAAAGCAAAGTGCAGATGCTGGCTCAAAATCCCCTCATTTAAACCATCTTAAATAGTTACAAAACTCTGAAGTGTACTATATTATCTTCCAATCTTAAATAATTTGTGTTCGCAGCTGGGATTCCTGGCAGACCACCAAAATATCATAGGCATTAGCTAAAAGAATATCATGGCTTGATATCAAAAAGTAGCCTAAATGTTGATTTTGCCGAACAAATACTAAATATATTAAACTCTTGATTTTCAGAAAACTGGGGGTGAAGAGTGCCCATTAAATCTGAATTGATAAAATTGAGATAATTCTTTACATTCTTTCTTTACACTGCTTTGCTACTATCAAGTTAAAGTACTATCGAAGTGTACACAGGATTATCTTCATTTAAAATGAAAGTGTGAATGTTTGTCATTTTCTCTTTGTCAAGATCAGAAAAGACATGGGATGAAAAGCAATGTAACAAATCCCAATCTGGGTAAAATCTGCATAGCATACAATATTTAGTATCACATGATAATATTTTATACTTTCAGTTGAATAATGATCCCAGAAATAGAATCTACATTAAAAAAATTGAACCTTTGCCAGTACAAACCTGTATTATTAAGTTTACAACAGCTCCAGTTAAGTAAGACTTAAGAACATCACAAGCAGTTGCTGTCCACTGTTCGGTCCCACCGGTTGGACTAGAATGAAAAGTTGTGGATAGAAAGGGCATATTGTTATGCAGATGGTATTGGTTAATCATCTTGTTTAAAAACTGAAGTTATGGCAGTACTGACAAATGGTACTTACACCAGGCCCTTGAAGTTATGGCTGTTGCAGCACCTCCCCCCCCCCTGTCATATTATCAGAATTCAGGCACCTAGCAGCCTGCCTGCACTTATGACCATGTGAGTGCTATAACTTCCTCACCTGCCTATCTCTCCCTATCCAGTTTTTGACTGCCCTACACAGTGACACTCCTTAGTTGTGGTGGTGCTGGGGCTGAAGTAGAGGCAAGGAAGCAGCAAGTGGAAGGAGAGGGTCACACAGATGGCAGAGAGCAGAGTGCTGATGGCAGCTGGGACTTTACACTGTGGCTCTGGGTTAGCTGACCATGGCACCGGACCTGAGAAGCACACAGCAGCAGTAGCTAAGGTAGAGGCCTGGGGATAGTGGCCACTGAGAATACTAAAGGTCCCAGACTCTGCTTTAGCCCCAGAGTTGCCACCATTGCTCATGATGCCGCTGTGCAGCTAAAAGAGCAGTGATGGGGGAAGATGGGTGGTTGGGTGGAATTCAAGAGGAGGCAATCCCATTTCTTACCGAGTCTCGGAACTGGAAGGAATGGCGCCAGGAATAGCTTGGACTCTGATAGGTGCTTGCCTAATGACTGGTGGGATTTAGTTAACAACAGCAACAGGGACTGGAGGATTGCTATTGCTAAGGAATACCGTCATGTGACATCACATTTTAAGTTCACACCACTTAGTGATGGAAAATACTACTACTACTACTACTACTACTACTACTACTACTACTACTACTAATAATAATAATAATAATAATAATAATAATAATGATAATGTTGGAAGGGACCTTGGAGGTCATCTAGTTCAACCCCCTGCTCAGGCAGGAAAGCCTATACCATTTCAGACAAATGGCTGTCCAGTCTCTTCTTAAAAACTTCCAGTGTTGGAGCATTCACCACTTCTGGAGGCAGGTTGTTCCACTGGTTAATTGTTCTAACTGTCAGAAAATTTCTCCTTAGTTCTAGATTGCTTTTTTCTTTGATTAGTTTCCATCCATTGCTTCTTGTCCTGCCCTCCGGTGCTTTGGAAAATAGCTTGACTCCCTCTTCTTTGTGACAACCCGAGATATTAGAACACTGCTATCATGTCACCCCTCATCCTTGTCTTCATTAGACTAGACATACCCAATTCTAGTAATCGTTCCTTATATGTTTTAGCCTCGTCCCCTAATCAACTTTGTTGCTCTTCTCTGTACTCTTTCTAGAGTCTCAATATCTTTTTTACATCATGGTGACATTTTGGTCCCTATTGCCATTGTTAAGCGAGGTAGTATAATAGTAAAATTATACATCTCTTATCATACAGAATTCTGCTCTGCAAGCAGATTTTTTATTTTAACTTGGGTTTTGTTTTAATCTATATGGGCTTGTAATAGTTTATTACAATAAGTAGGAAATGGATATATTACCTTATATTTGTTAATGAGCACTCTACTGCAAGTGGTCTGATAGTCTTCAGATTCTGTTCAAGTTCTCTTAGACAGGTAATATCCACAGTTTTGACTATGCCTAAATCAATAAGGAATACCTGCAAAAGAAACGTTTAACTAAAATTTAGATAATGTGAGTTCTCTGTTGTTTACTAAATGTCTTTATGAATTAACCCGTTCTTTTTATTATTACTAGATATGAGTACAACCTCACCATAATTTTCTTCAACACTGCAATAACATATAATTACTAGCTTCATTAATAAAATAAACAGCACATTAATAAAATAAACGGCATATTAATCTGTTAGAGAATATTTATTATTTTGGACTTCTTTAATGTTGACTTTTCACATTTTTACAAAAGACCAAGGCCCGAGACAGCAAAACATATAGAACTTATTTAGGTATATATTTTAATTTCACTTTTCAGATATTTTATTGCCAAATTGAAGAGTTCTATGACAACTTAAAGACAATGTGCTGCTCAGAGTGATGTACAGTATGTGAAATGGGCAGCCATATATAGCCATAAAGAAACAATTTTTGTGGCCTGGATTTTAAGATACAATCACATTTATTATACTCTTGGATTTTAGTCTTACAAAGAGAAGAACTGGGTGACATGGTAGCAGTCTTCTAATATCTAAGGGGTTGTTCACAGGGAAAAGGGAAGTGGTCAACCTATTCTCCAAAGCACTTGAAGGCAGGAGAAGAAGTAATGGATGGAAACTTATCAAGCAGAGATCCTACTCAAAACTAAGGAGAAATTTCCTGACAACAATTTCCAGAGAACAATTAACAAGTGGAATGGCTTGCCTCCAGCAGTTGTGGGTGTTCCACCACTAGAGGATTTCAAGAAGAGACTGGATAGCCATTTGTCTGAAATGGTATAGGATCTCCTGCTTGAGCAGGGAGTTGGACTAGAAGACTTCCAAGTCCCTTCCAACTCTGTTATTCTGTTATTTACTCTTTTCTCAAGATTCACAACGCAACCAGATTTTGGGCATATAGAATTCTTCATTCGGAGCTTTCTAAGTCCNACATGGCATACTGATTTAGTCTTTATGTTTTCATCTAAAATACATTTTGTGGCACCAAATTGCTCCCTTACCTTTTTAGAATTTTTTCTGATGACATAAAATGCACAAATATCTTGCTAGGAGATACAATGTGATTAATTTGCACTTGCAATTCTTTATTACTTTCCAAAACTAAATCTTCCATCCATGGCCAATCTTCAATCTTAAGTTTTAATAAAGATTTCTCTGTTTTGAATATGTCCTCCAGATCAGGATCCCATATTTCATTACATGCTGTAGCAATCATTTTGTTATCACTATAAAAAGAAAATCAATTTCATTTATATTGGCATATACCTACTACCAATGCCAAAAAATCTGGAATATGTCCAGTAATTACTACTGTATGTATACTTTGAAAATTATAAATTTGCTCAAAGTTGCATATGAGAAATATGCTGAAATATTGTATAAATTCAGGACAGTTGCCATGACAAGCTAACAAGCATACTTACCCTGTTATGTAAGATGCTAAGCCCTCTTTAACCAAAAGATTATTCACACTGCCTGACTGCTTTGAGGGGACACATACACTTTGATAGAGCTCAACAGATAGTACGTTGTCTTCTGCTTTTTCTACAAAGGGAGGAAAATACATTCAAATCTGCTGAATTTTGGGGGGGAAATTATCTAATGGTTCAATTATTCTGTATTCCAAATTAAGAACATAGCTGTTTACATTTTGCTCTAAGGCTAAGCAGTGATTTGTTGCTTAATATTGTGTGAACCCACCTAAATGCAGCTTAAGAGAAAATTACTATGAAAATAACATTAATTATGTTCTATAATCACCCGACATCTTTTAAGCCTGAACTCCAAGGGGTTCTAACCAAATGAATTGATATATTAAATGAACTGGGTAATGGAATTCTTACTGCACTGCTGTTTAGACATATATGACCACCTAACAGCGTCCAGATAGTTAACTTAGCAAGAAAGTAGAAATTATAGCAGAACCTAAACATGCTGCAAGTATGATTTTCACAAGACCATTAGGAAGAATTAGCCATCATAGGACTCTCTCCTCCAAACAAGAACCAGAATAAACAACAGTTCTTTGATCAGTTAATTGTTAACCTACAGATATTTATCTGAAAGTATTTTAACTTGTATCATGAATAACAGAAAAGCAGCAGTATTAAAGAACAAATATACGAAGATAGTTAAAACATCCATATAATCATATCTCGATAATACCTCAAATCAACTGAAGACTGAAAACAGTAGTCCTTACTACTACTACTACTACTTTTACTACTACATGATGATGAAAAGGTAACCAGTTCTCACATTTATGACCTTTGGAGGACAGGACAGGGTATGGCAGAAAATCAAATCAAATCAAATCAAAATAAATCAAAAGTAATATCATTCACGGTTTCACTTGTTTTTATTATTTATCAAATTTACATGCCGCTCATCTCTGCTTAACAATAAAGTTGCCAGTGTCAATGTGGTTACTGAACAAGGACTACCTGTAACATTAACCTGCTTGCAGTATTTGAGGAGGACTAGGGCCAATCATCTCTCATTTGAGAGTATTCCATAGGATGGGAACCATGACAGACAAAATAAATCACCTCATGAGAAGAGGAACCCTCCATTGGTCTTTTCTGGATATCTTAAGCATGCATTTAATTCTGAGGGCACAGTGACTCATGTATCCTGATCCTGTAGTTTATACAGCTTTAAAAATAATTCCCAGCATTTTGAATGAGGTGTGGAAGCCTACTGATAACCAAGACAATGTAACAGTATTTTACACTGGCAATCTAGACACTGAGTTTTGTGCCAAGGTGAAATGTTCAGTTTGTTTTCAAAATTAGCCCTAAGGTTTCTTGCAGTAGTCAACTAAATGGTGAGCAGGCCAGAAGTTAATGTTGTCAGGGCAGAAAGATAAATACTTACCAGTAACAAAGCAGAGCATACATTTATCCTGAATCAGTTGTTCAAATCTGTCCTTTGACTGGACAGTCCATTCAGTGGCTCCTTTACATGGCCTAATATAAGCCAATTTGCACCTGATAGCCTGTGTTGCAAAATACAGACAGTTTAGCTGAGAAACCATTCTCATGACGGAAATACTTAGAAATATATTCTCATACATAGAAATTGTAATGATTTCCAAAACAACAAAGGTTAGATTCACACAACTTAAACTTCTTCTTTGTATTATTAGGTATTCCCAGACTCATTACTGGATTTTGATATTTATTTGTATCCCGCCTTTATTATTTTTACAAATAACTCAAAGCAGCCATTTTCCTCACAACTACCCTGTAAGGTGGGTTGATCTGAGAGTGTGTGACTGGCCCAAGGTCAACCAGCTGACTTCCATGCTAAGGTGGGATTTGAACACATGGTCTACCAGTTTGCAGCCTGGTGACCTAACCATTAGACCAAACTGGCTCTCTTATTTAGATTTTATACTATAGCAGATTGATCCATTTATACAATGGATTCTACCATGTTTTCCCCAAAATAAGACCTTGCGGCGGCGATACCAACAATCCTGCCCAGCCAGCCCACTTCTTCTGTGGCCAAAGGAGCAGCTTCATTCTGCAGCTGAGAATGGAGCTCAGGCCTGCATTTTGCTGTCAGAGGCTTTTCCGGAAGGTCTGTGCAGCTGAGGACCGAGCTATGGATTGAATCCGTAGCTTGGTTCTTGGCTGCACAGGCCTTCCAGAAAAGCCTCTGACAGCGAAATGCAGGCCCGAGCTCCATTCTCAGCTGCAGAATGAAGCTGCTCCTTCGGCCGCAGAAGTGGGCTGGCGAGGCAAGTGTTGATCCATGGGAAGCCTGGCTGCAATGGTAAACTCCACCTCCGCCCTAGCTTGCGCCACGCCCCAAAACTAGGGCTTATTTTCGGGGTAGATCTTACTTTCGGGGAATCATGGTAAGGACAATGTATTAGAATGCTCAAGGCAAAATCTTCTAAGGAAATCATATGGTTCGTATACAGTATCTTGAGTATTACATTTTTATATATTTATTTATTTAAATTCAAATATACTTTAAAGTAAATAAACATTGAAACAAATATTTAATTGATATTAAAATGAATGCAATTATTATTAAAGAAAATGCAAAAATTGTACAAGGTATCTTGGCAGTTTATCTAGATTCTATAAAATAGATGGTTTTTCTTACCTTTTCTGGGGGAACTAAAAACTCATCTTTTATTTTACAAATTTCTTTTATATTTATTTTAGCAGTATTACCATAGTCAACATATTTAACTTCAACTTCTTGATGACCTGGCAATGCTTTGGGGAAAAAATGAAATTAGAAAAGATTTAGACCTTGAAATTATAACAAGAAATGTGTTTATCGGAATTAAAAACATCTGCAAAGTGTATTGATATGCCAATTTTTTTTCAGGTAGCCATCATCTTACTTCTCCAAAGTTACATAAAAGAAAATGTCTCAATGTCTATGCTACAATTCCCTTCCTGATTTTAATTAATGTTAGAAAATCCAAGGAAATCAAAAAGTCTGTTATATATTTTTTTCTGGTATTAAAAATTAGCATTTGTTAGCCTGATCTGAATTAGAGATTTTTTAAAATATAACTGTCATTATAGAAATCCATATTGGCATACTATGCTTCAGTGCTTGTCCTGAAAACCAAAACCTGAAATCTATTTTCACATGGACAAAATGTAAATTGTGATTTGGGCTTTTTTAAAGCAACTGCAAAGCATTGTTTAACATAAACCAGAATATCAGGACTCAAAGTGCCCAAGTTGGAAGCAAACATAAATTTGAGAAAAAGCATAGCAAAATTTGCCATTGCTACAAGTGAGCAAACTTCATATACAGTTATGAAGTTAATTATAAAAAAGGTATTAATCTGTAAGTCTTTATACTTATACGTTAATGACTTCATAATCCTAACCCTATAAAAAAGATTGGGCTAAAAGAAAAAATAGTGGTCCAAAGAAATCCGATGATCTCCAAAGTTGAAGGGTTCCTGCACTGGACATATCTTTCAAAGATGAATTCCTTAATTACTACATTAGTCATATGTTGCCCAGAGAATAATGTGGCTATTTATACATTTATGATGCAGTGTCAAAACAAATATATTATCGGACTACAATAATAACAACATTGGATAGATGAAATGTTCTACAACGTTTCATTGGAAAAAGTTTTTGAATTGGAGAGAGATCAGAATAATTATGCATTCCAGATACTTACCAATCACCTGTGCTCTGTACCAAACACCATCATCTTCAAATTTGGCCACACATGGTTGGCCTTGGGTTGGACAAAGGATTTGCAAGTCGGGTCCTAGTTCATTTTCATACACTTCTTCAACTTTCTTTAGAAAAGCTGCAAATTCGGGACCCTGTTCTAACTACCACAATGAAAAGAAAAATTAATTCCTTCATGCTAACATTTGGCACTACTATACTAATTTGCATAATCATATTGCTTATTTTCAGCTGAATTTGATGGTCCTGTACTTAATGCCACGGGAAGGGCTCAGAAAGATATAAGGGTTAGCAAAGATGCAACTGACGCAATCAAATATCAGCTTTCAAGCTGAAAGCCAAGTAGAAGCCACTTGCTACTCTGTATTTTGGCCTAATAGATGTTGCTTCCCCTTATAACTAACATTTTTATACATCTTGTTTTATTTTTTGCTTCCAATTGCTATTTTAATTGTAGTGCATTTTTCACTGAGTGTCTATAACTCTAAAAGTCAAATGTGAAAAAGACACTGCTTTTCCTTTATGCCATACAATTCCATAAATGCATTTAAATCACCAATTAATAGCTAATTATAAGACATGAAAAGCTGAATGATGAGAAAGAATGAATTACTGTATGGCATGGAAATAGACTGGAAAAATATATAAGAGGTAGGAGGAATCTCATGATCTGGAAATGCCCCTTTTTGACATTAACAAATCTCACAAATGTAGAAAAACCTGAACAGTGCCCCTCTCTGAAACTGCTCACCACGCTTAAGGAGCATTGAATGCCAACTATTAGGAAGGAACACAAAGCAAGCTTTCCCTGCAACACCCTGGAGTTTTCAATAGGACTGAATGCTGACCCTGTTCCCATTCGTTTAAAAATAAAAATAACTTTTCCTTTCTGTTGTTTTTCATATTCATTTGACAACGTGGCAAGAAATTGTGCCCCCATAAAATGGGGCACAATTCACTTAACAAATTCTCACTAGCAACAGACATTTTAGGCTCGATTGGAGTCATAAGTCAAGGACTGTGTGTACTAACATGAACCCTAACATTAAAATGCAACACTTACCAGCTGAATGTAGAAGTCGCCAGGGCTATTAATGTAACTAACAACAGCGGCAACCTCTGTATTTTCCCGTGGCATCACAGGTGGATAGTACTTCAGTGGTACAGAGTTTTCTGACCAATCAGAAAATTCATTCTGAAAGCTAATAAGGTAAAGAGATGAGAATAAACTGTTAATATGCAAGAGAAAGAGAAATCTTGAGACTAAGTTTTACTGTTAGTAGTCCTAAATATGAAATACAATTAAGACATGAAGACAAGCTCTGAGAACAAATTACACAGAATATCTATTCATACTCTCCTTAAATTTATTTTAAGACAATCTTATAAATCTTAATGTATTCAAAACAGGGACACTATGGAACAGCATTTAATCTGTTACTTTACGTCAATTCCCACCCTAAAAAGGTAGGTAAGAAAAAAACCCAAATTATTCCCACGACTTGGCTAAAATCTTTTTCCATAATTTAATCCAAAATGTAGGCTAATTCACATTTCAATCAAATCTGTAAGTACATCTTTTAATTTCTCCATTGTAAGTTAATATATTCCACTGATTTCTATGAGAAAACTCAAAAGATGCCATTAGGGATATTCTGCTAATAACATTGGCAACTGTGCTTTACCTCACCCCTGCAATATAGAATTGCAGGAATTTGTAATATATTTTTTATTATTCTCCTAACATCAGGACGGAAGACCTAGACCAGGGGTAGGCAATCTTGGCTCTTTTATGACTCGTAGACTTCAACTCCAAGAATTCCTGAGCCAGCCATGCTGGCTCAGGAATTCTGGGAATTGAGATCTACGAGTCATAAAAGAGCCAAGGTTGCTTATCCCTGACCAAGACCTTGTACTTTTCTTGGAAACATACACTCTCCCTTTCTCAAGGCATGCATCATGTTGAGCTGAGAAGTATACATAGTCCTCAAATTACAAGTGTAATGGAGCTAGTCCATTATAGTCATATGTCATAATGGTCATTAAATGGGTCAACTATGTATAAGTGCAGGAGTGTTCACTGTGAGTGCAATTTTGCAGAAAACCAAAACTGCCAGTTTTCAGCAAAACCTTTGTAAAACATGGTCAGGTGATTGTGAGAGGCTATAAATGCATCTGTGTTGCTGAGCAACCAAAGTGTGGTCATATGACCGGGGGGGGGCAATCATTGGAATTTTGGGTCCAGGCTGTAAGCCTCCTTCTTTAAGCAGGTTGCAACTTCGAACAGAAAATTTAAAGGGAGGAATAGAAATTTTATCCATTAAGAAACAGTATCTAATCAATCTATAAACTCAAAAGAAGCAAATACATTCTATCTTAAATCATATGTAAGTTAATCTAAGGTAAATCTCTATTCAAAACATGTTTAATGTCATAATTCTTTATGCTAGGATTTTAAAAAGCTTTTAGCTATGCATACCTTGCTAAGTCCAAGAAAACTAGAGCATCTCTGAGGGACACAGGCATGTCACTGCTTATTTTGTTTGCTGGAGGCTTCATAAGATCTACAATAAGCACACCATTCTCTTCTCTAAAAATTTTCATCAGAACAGCTTTGCTATTTACCATTCTCAAAAATTCTATCCTCGCTCCTCTACCCCAACCTTTTTCCTGTTGTGGACAGAAAAGCCAAACAGTTTAATTTTTTCTCAATCTTCTTCCTTCATTTCTTTAACTGTAAGTTAAACAGAATAAATTTTAAATAATTGCCTATGAAGGTATCTTCAGGATAAGGGGAAAAATCAAATTTATCCTTAGAAAAGTTTGATGAAAAATAATGGATGAGAAACACCAAAATAAATAGTCTTGAGTACTCTCCACTATAGCAAACTATAGGTTGTTCTCGACTTACAACAGCACAGTTGTCAAGCAAAGCATCACATGACTGCTCCTGATGTTACGACCATTTTTTGCAAAGTCATTAAGCAGGACATCATGTGATTGGGATTTGCAATCTTTCCTGATTTTGTACCCACTGACTTTGCTTGTGGGAAGATTGCAAATTGCAATCACATGACCATAGATTGCAAGATTCACACTGGAAATGTGAGCTGGTTGCCAAGTGCCTAAATCATGATTAAATGACTTTCTGGGATGATGCAACAGTTGTAACTTTTTTCAGCATCATCATAACTTTAATCGGACATTAAATGAATGGTTGCTATCAAGGGCTACCTGTAGAATCTACTCTGCAAACTAACTTTTATTAAGAATACTCAATAACCAGGAATTTTATGTGGGTTTTTTTATTTAGTTAATTAAAACATCATCACTCCAAGAAATTATAAAGTGAGATTTCCTAAACTTGAAATCAGTCTTTTAATCTTGATAACTGGAGATAGCAATAGCATTTAGATTTATATACTGCTTTATAGTGCTTTAAAGCACTCTCTAAGTGGCTTACAGAGTCAGCATATTACCCCCAACAATCTGGGTCCTCAATTTACCAACCTTGGAAGGATGGAAAGCTGAGTCAACCTTGAGCCAGTCAGGGTCGAAGGAATCGAACTCCTGTCAGTGAGCAGAGTTAGCCTGCAATACTGTATTCTAACCACTGCGCCACCACGGCTCTTATGGTAGTTGAAAGCCTCTTTTATCCGATCTAACAATGTAAGGTTTGATAATTGAAGGATTTGGAACTGGGGGAAGCTTGGAGCAGAATCAGAATAGTGCAGCAGTACCCCATTTAATAAGACTGAAGGAGTTTTTTTTAGTCCTTTTATCTTTTTCCTTGAAGGAAGACATGGCTTTGAGTCTTTGATCATCAGGAAATCCTTCCAATCTTTGTGTTTGAACAACTGAGACCCTTCAAATAGTGATGTGGACAAATTTGCTTTATATCAGTTGCCAGCCTGCCCCACAGCTCAGTCGGGAGGATCTCCCAGTAACAATAACTAAAGTAATTTTTTGAAATGATACGATGAAAATTCTCAGAAGCAAACTTGTAGATTTGTGATTTTTTTTTCCAAACCGGTTGCACCTTTGCAAGATTTCTTTTATTCTAGGCAGTCAATTCAGACCATTAAATATTTGATATTTAAGATTAAATCAGTAAAGGAATAGGTTATATTAGGGTCCCCAACCAACTGGGCTGTGGCCTACTGCGCCACAAGAATGATTTGTGTATGCATGCAGGCACTAGCAGCTCTCTTGCACATGCGGCGTGCGCCTGCATGCTACCAGTGCCACCACAGGTGCACATGGGCTGCTTGCACATGCGGGGCATGCGGGGCCGTGCGTGCGCACACATTTCCCTGCTCCTCCCTTTCCTTCCGGGCCACCAAGCCGGAAAGGTTGGAGAGCTCTGGGCTATACAGTGTATTAAGTTTAACTGATCATAAAAATACATACAAACAGCTTCCAATGATAGAAGTGTATCACTGGATGTTATTTCTGTGAAATTGCTTAGCAATAGCACTTAGACTTAAATACCGCTTCATAGTGCTTTACAGCCCTAAGCGGTTTACAGAGTCAGCATATTGCCCCCAACAATCTGGGTCCTCATTTTACCAACCTCAGAAGGATGGAAGGCTGAATCAACCTTAAGCCGGTCAGGATTGAACTGCTGGCAGTTGGCAGAATTAGCCTGCAATACTGTACCACCATGGCTCTTAAATCATCAAAATAAGCTCACAACTAGCAGTGAACTAGAGGTAAAATTCCCAAATACTCAATTCAGACATCATGTTCCATTATGATTTATATTAATCACAAAACTCAAACCACTGTTTGAGTTGTAAGTATACCACAAATTATGTTTTACAGCTGCTCATTTCCTTCTATTTCTCTCCTCTTGGAATATGTTTCAAAAAGACACTCTCATTTCATTAGCATAGCAGCTTCTAGAAGCATAATGGTTGTGAAATATGATTTACTTCAAACCAAACCTCAGAAAATTTTGCATACAGTATTCATAAGCATTATTTGACTTAAATAGAATCCTCCAAGAAGGTTCTAGAATATTAGGTATATCTGTTCCCCTTGCTTCAGGACATCTCTATCCTCATCTATAGAAGTATCAAAAATCCCTCTATAACTGCTATAAAAAAGAAAATCAATAAGAGACTATAAAACATTTAAATAAACAATGAAAAAAGGCAGCCAATATAATTCTCACTTACTGAATTCTTAGGAACAATGCCCTTTAGTGAACACTGTAGGGCTAGCTTACTTATACCTCTGAGCCGAGTCTCTAAAGATAAATCCATTTTTCTTACAACCAAACATAGATCTTCAACCATCATGTATTTAAGAGTAACATGTTCTGGATTCACAGTAACTTCATTAGGTACTCTGATGGCAGAAGAAAAAAACCCACATATGGTTTCATTATGCAGTTTGGAATATCATACATTAAGAGGTCATGTCACTAATATTGATATTTATACTGTATATATGCATATATTGTACACATATGTATACTGTATGTGAATCACAAAAAAGAGATACAGATAGTCCTTGACTTACTGTGGCAATTGGGACTGAATCTCCTTGTTAAGTGATGTGGTCCTAAAGCATTACCGCATTAGCAATTTATCAACAGCAATCTCTTCAGTCTTGTTTGCCATTTTAACCAAATGCCAGAAGACATTGCTTCATGGTTGTAAAGCCTGTTCTCCAACAGGCAATCAGGCTAGCACAATTCCTTACTGCAAATGCTGGAGACCAGAGAGTATTCTAGCCAATTTGGGGTCATTGCTTTGTTTTCATTTTATTTGAGTTTACTGAGCTGTGTTATTTTTATAGAGACTACAATTTGTTATTTCCCAATTTTTGAAACCTATTGGTTTCACTGTATAAGTCGCAAAGTCTTTTGGCTATAGTGGAATACAAGCTAAATAAATAACGTAGAATAAGCAAACACTAGTTCAGTTGGAAAATAACCAGCACATGAATAATAGCTATCTGAAAAGACTGTAAAAGATCTGCAGAAGTACTACTTTGGGAGCGTGACCTCTTCACTATATGCGAAAAATAATTCCTCAACTTTTGACTTATCTGGATTCAATTTTCACCTTTTTCCCAAGCACTCCACAATATCATTAAAATGGGAACCAGTAAAGGAACATAACTCACTTGTAGAAGGGGAAAAAAAGACCCTGGTGTCATCTACCTATGTCCCCTATAACACTCTATCACAGTGATCCCCAACCTTTCAAGCTTGGCAGCCCAGCCCAGCGCGGGAGGTGTGTGAGTGGCAGGTGCACATGCGCACGCACAGCTCCATTTGCACAAGCAGCATGAGTGTGCGCCCTACACTGATGTGAATGGAGCTTCACGCATGAGCAGAGGTTACTTGCGCTCACGCACAAAGCTCCATTTGCATGAGCAGCAGGCACTTGTGCTCACACACAAAGCTCCACTTGCGTGAGCAGAGGACACTTCTGCTCGAGCGTGAAGCAAGGGGAGGGCCCTCCGAGTGGTACTTCAAGTGTGTGCGTGTGCGCTTGCCCAACTCACCCATGGCCCAGTAGTAGGCTGTGGCCTGGGGACCCCTGCTCTATCAAACTATGCAACAGGATAACCAATAACATCTCCCTATCATGTTCCAGCCAGAAGTAAGATTAAAAAAAATCAAATTCATTCTGAAGCATCCGGTGACTCATCATTCACTAAATCATCTTGGGCAGAAATGACAATTTTAAAACCAGCTTATAATTACAAAAAAAAATTGGGAAAATCTAAACATGACAGATTTGAACAAAATGTATTTAAAATTATTCATACCCTGAAATAATTAAAGCTTCTGGATGCCCAAAATCTATAAGGAATACTTTCATAATTGCAATATCACAAATTTTGTATTTTGTCAGACCACAAGGTTTCCCCTCATTTGTATTCAGGAGTGGAATTAGTTCAATTATTTCTGCACGGCACCACATTCCATGTTCTTTACTTTTAACCAAAATCCTTATGCCTGAAATACATTAAAATTTAAATATCTTTAAATTCATTGCAACTTTTAAGCATTATTAAGAAAGGATATTTATAGAACTGTTGAATGGTCTCGTTCTTCAATTCAATCTTTGTCACTTAAAATTTGTCTGAAAGTACCGTATATACTCGAGTATAAGTCGACCCGAGTATAAGCCGAGGGACCGATTTTCCCACAGAGAACTGGGAAAAATTGGTGACCCGCGCATAAGCCGAGGGGGCATTTTGGCTGTTCCTCCCTGGCCGCCGCCCCACCCCCNGGAGGGGCCTCACCACCGCCTCTTTCAAGGCCGTGGGGAAGACACCCTCCCCCAAAGAAGCGTTTATAATTCCCTGGAGCCAGGCTCGTGTCCCCTCCCGGGCAGCCAGTACCAGCCAGGAGGGGCACGGATCCAGTAAGCATGTGGTTGCATTCAGCCTCCCCAGAATCCTGTCCACGTCCTCGGGAGCCACAGAGTCCAACTCATCCCATATAACAGTCTCAGGACTTGCTCCTGTCTCCTCCCCCGGGGCCACCCAGTCAGAGTCAAGACCTTCTCGAATCCGAGCGACTTTGTCATACAGATATTGAGCAAAGTCCTCGGCCCTCCCCTCCAGGGAGTCCCCTCCCCCCTCAACTGAAGGAGCGAGCGGGTCACCCTGAAGAGGGTGGCCGGGCGATTATCTGATGACGCAATGAGGGTGGAGTAGTAGTTAGACCTCGCCACCCTCATCGCCACTAGGTAGGATCTAACCTGTATCCTTACCTGTGTTCGGTCGAATTCGGTTCGGCTCACCCTCCAACTGCTCTCCAGGCGTCTTCATCTCTCTCAGCTCCTCGGTAAACCAGGGAGCCAATTGAGATCTGCGCCGGGTCAGAGGCCGCAAAGGCACGACTTGGTCCAATGCTGCGGCAGCGGCCGTCTCCCAGGCCGCCGCCAGATTGTCAACCGAATCGTGCAGTTTGGAATATCAGGCCGCCGCCAGGCCGCCGCCAGATTGTCAACCGAATCGTGCAGTTTGGAATATCATACATTAAGAGGTCATGTCACTAATATTGATATTTATACTGTATATATGCATATATAGTACACATATGTATACTGTATGTGAATCACAAAAAAGAGATACAGATAGTCCTTGACTTACTGTGGCAATTGGGACTGAATCTCCTTGTTAAGTGATGTGGTCCTAAAGCATTACCGCATTAGCAATTTATCAACAGCAATCTCTTCAGTCTTGTTTGCCATTTTAACCAAATGCCAGAAGACATTGCTTCATGGTTGTAAAGCCTGTTCTCCAACAGGCAATCAGGCTAGCACAATTCCTTACTGCAAATGCTGGAGACCAGAGAGTATTCTAGCCAATTTGGGGTAATTGCTTTGTTTTCATTTTATTTGAGTTTACTGAGCTGTGTTATTTTTATAGTGACTACAATTTGTTATTTCCCAATTTTTGAAACCTATTGGTTTCACTGTATAAGTCGCAAAGTCTTTTGGCTATAGTGGAATACAAGCTAAATAAATAACGTAGAATAAGCAAACACTAGTTCAGTTGGAAAATAACCAGCACATGAATAATAGCTATCTGAAAAGACTGGAAAAGATCTGCAGAAGTACTACTTTGGGAGCGTGACCTCTTCACTATATGCGAAAAATAATTCCTCAACTTTTGACTTATCTGGATTCAATTTTCACCTTTTTCCCCAGCACTCCACAATATCATTAAAACAGGAACCAGTAAAGGAACATAACTCACTTGTAGAAGGGGAAAAAAAGACCCTGGTGTCATCTACCTATGTCCCCTATAACACTATCACAGCAATTCCCAACCTTTCAAGCTTGGCAGCCCAGCCCAGCGCAGGAGGCGTGTGAGTGGCAGGTGCACATGCGCACGCACAGCTCCATTTGCACAAGCAGCATGAGTGTGCACCCTACACTGATGTGAATGGAGCTTCACGCATGAGCGGAGGTTACTTGCGGTCACGCACAAAGCTCCATTTGCGTGAGCAGCAGGCACTTGTGCTCACACACAAAGCTCCACTTGCGTGAGCAGAGGACACTTCTGCTCGAGCGTGAAGCAAGGGGAGGGCCCTCCGAGTGGAACTTCAAGTGTGTGCGTGTGCGCTTACCCAACTCACCCATGGCCCAGTAGTGAGCTGCGGCCTGGGGATTGGGGACCCCTGCTCTATCAAATTATGCAACAGGATAATAAATAACATCTCCCTATCATGTTCCAGCCAGAAGTAAGATTAAAAAAAAATCAAATTCATTCTGAAGCATCCGGTGACTCATCATTCACTAAATCATCTTGGGCAGAAATGACCATTTCAAAACCAGCTTATAATTACAAAAAAAATTGGGAAAATCTAAACATGACAGATTTGAACAAAATGTATTTAAAATTATTCATACCCTGAAATAATTAAAGCTTCTGGATGCCCAAAATCTATAAGGAATACTTTCATAATTGCAATATCACAAATTTTGTATTTTGTCAGACCACAAGGTTTCCCCTCATTTCTATTCAGGAGTGGAATTAGTTCAATTATTTCTGCACGGCACCACATTCCATGTTCTTTACTTTTAACCAAAATCCTTGTGCCTGAAATACATTAAAATTTAAATATCTTTAAATTCATTGCAACTTTTAAGCATTATTAAGAAAGGATATTTATAGAACTGTTGACTGGTCTCGTTCTTCAATTCAATCTTTGTCACTTAAAATTTGTCTGAAAGTAAGAACTTTTGGGAAAGTTCTTAGGGGCTGCAAAACTCTGGCTAGTCATGAGATGGCAGCAAAATTCCATTAATAAAACATAGTATTAGCATAAGGTTTTACTAAAAAAGAATGCATCTGTACAACAATCATTTTTCAAATTTCAAAATAAATGAACCAAAATCTGAATACAATACCCATGAAGAAATAAACAATAAAACTTTAGAATTAGAAGATGGTTTAGCTTAATCCAGGGGGCACAATGGTTCAGTGGATAAAGATGCTTAGCTTGTTATTGGAAAGCTGACAGCCCAGGTTTGAGACCTGAGCACTGTGTGACGGTGGGAGCTGCCATTACTTGCCCTAGCTCAGGGGTAGGCAACCTTGGCTCTTTTATGACCCGTGGACTTCAACTCCCAGAATTCCTGAGCCAGCCATGCCCACCTAGCAGTTCAAAAGCATGCAAATGTGAGTAGATAAATAGGTACCACTTTGGTGGGAAGGTAACAGCGTTTTGTGCGTCTCAACATGCTGGCCACGTGATTACAGAAGTGGTTTTGGACAACACTGACTCCCTCGGCTAAGAAACAGAGATGAGCACCACCCACTAGAATCAGACATGACTGGACAGGGGAAATCTTTTACCTTTAGCAAAACCAACATAAATTCACGAAGTATTGTTTACCTAGTTCCAAAATGTCAATAGGAGATAAATAATTATTCCTACAATAGTATTTCAAAACTTTTTCCAAATAGATTGCAGTTTTCTTTTGGGAAACTTTCCGAACATAGAAGTGACATGGATTTATTACAGAACTGACAATAACATATTCAGGAATTTCTGTGTAAGATAGAATATAAAATGAATGAATAAAATCAAATAATGCTTCAAGTTTTTAATACATAAATATGTAAAAAATCAAGTTATTTGTGCAGAAATTTATTTATTTGTTAATTTTATTTGCCATCTATCTCACTGTGGGTTAGACGGCTTACCATAATAAAAACAAAGAAACAAAATGAAATATAAACAGAACAGAAGTAAAATAATAGAACAATAAAATAAACAATGAAAAAGAAAATAACATGGATACATCAATATCATAACAATAATGAAATAAAGGGTCCATTAAGTAATTAGCAAACTGGATTTTTACACAGAAAAACATGCTGAATGAAATTGCAAAACATTTACTTGAAAACAGCAGCATTTGGCTCAGCAGTTAACTGTTTTAGGATTAATATTTAATCTATTTACATCTCTCAATAATAGTTATGTTACATTTGAAATATTAAAAATCAATACACTTGGCTATTCCAAATGAAGCATTTTTTGCTTTACAACCAGTTATTAAGTGAAAAAAGTGTATTCTATTCCATAAACTTCCTCTTATATACTCCAGCTACATTTTCAAAGTTATTGTTTAAAAAAAGGGATGGTAGCTTTTATTTCTATACAGTATTTCAAAAATCAAACTACTGAACCAATCAATGTGACATTTTATTTTGCCAGATCACAGTTACATACCAGCCTTTAACTCAAATGGGACCTGCTGTATTTGAAAAAGACTCTTCTGATATGTAGATTTGCGATACTCTGTAGAAAATGCTTGGGGGAAAAAACACGGATATATTTAATCAACTCCAGATGTCAATATTATTCACCTGGAACAAATTTACTGACGAACTGATTATACAACTGAGACTTAACAACCAGCCTTCTAAAGCCAAGTTCAGAAGTCAAGCTTACAGTTTTCCATTTTGCCCTGAGAAATCTATTCTGAGAAATCCCAGGAGTCACACACAATGGCATCGTCAGGTATTGTGCATGTTAAAACCAGCAAGATAGTGGGGGATGCCACCTGTATGAAAGTAGCAGAATGGGACAATTAGCTCCTCACTGCTGCCACCTCGCTCCAGCTAACTTGCTGTGGAGGTAACTTCTGGGCCTTCCACTCTGGTTTCCAAATGTGTCTGTGCACATGTGTGTCTTGCTTAGCCTGTCTTTTGGGGGGGGGGTACTGGAAAGCGAGGCAAGGAAGCCTTCAGAGAAGGAGTGCGGGTAGTAGGAACTTTCATCTTATTTAAGCTAGGCCAGCTTTAGAAACCAGAGCGGAAGGCCCAGGCTCGTGGCGAGTTAGCCGGGTGGCTGGGGCAAAGTGGTGGTGTTGAGTTGGCAGTAGCGAGGTAGCGGTGGTGAGTTGTCATATTACAAAAAGGGATACAATATGTAACTCTTCATGAGTTGCTCTTTACCAGGAAAAAGCATTCTCAATTTTAGAGTGAGTTATCTGTGATTCTTTAGTTAAAAGAAGTGGACCATTTGTTGTTCTTGATTGCTCAGCCACAGCTCCCAGTAACTCTAGTCATCAAATTCAGTGGTGATGGGAAGCTCAGAACTATAGTTCAACATCTGGTGTTTGCTCTGCTATTGCAAAGCACTGTGTGTGCATGTGTGTGTGTGCGCGCACACACATACATACATATATATATATATGATTCATCTATGCACTTTTTAAAAAACTATGAACACTTTGAAAGAGAAAAGATATTATAGCTGTAATGTAACAAATTATATAAAGAGTTTTAAAGGGGTTTAAAGTTCCTACTCACTTTCTTGATCATCTTCAATTATTTCTTCAATGATAACATCTGGTGTAGATGTGACCTGAGATAATGCAGCAGTGTGTTTCTGAATGGATAATGGAGCCATTTCTTGCAGGTGGGCTCCTTCAAAACATATATCATCAGATTCTTCCAAAGGAGGAATTACATCAACTTCTTTAACAAGATTTATATATACTTGATGTGAAGTATCAAGTTCATTATTCATTTTTAGAGAGCTGTCTTCAAAGTTGTACCTATGTTGACCAATTATTCATTGAATACTGTTTGTTCATTAAACATCATTTTAGCACAAAAGATAAAATAAGCAATAGAAATAATGGAAAGGCCTTTGACTTTCAGAAGCAACTTTAATTTCCATTAAACCTGAAATCTAAATACATCCTCTAATAATTTATTTTCAGAACGCTTTCAGATTTTTTTTACCAAACTCTTACAGCAAAATCACTGATTTTCAACATTTTTTTCATTTTTAACTTTACTTTTATCAGAAGAAAAAGTATTTAAGAAAACAGAAAATACTACCACAAAGAAAATAATTGAAAGAAAAGCTAAAAAACCAAGGTATGGTATTCATGTACCTCACCATAAAATTTATGCATTTGTATTGAGTATGTCTATCCAGAAAGCCATCTGTACAACATGAAAGAAATCACTTCAGAAAAAAACCATTAGTATAGATAATAAATGACTAAGATAAACCTATGTACAACTTGATTCTTTAAAACTTCAATACTGTATACATTTTTCAGCCAAATTCCCATCCTTTTAAAGATAGTGGTCCAAATAAAGATGTACTTTAAGTACTCATGAAGACTCATCTAGTAGCAACATTAATCAATTTCATTTTATAATTCTTATACAATACAATCTAAAGAAACATCAAAATCTAATTTTGTGTACTGCTTCTTATGGACTATTTTCTATGGATGATCTTTTGTGGTCAAATCATTAACTTTCAGTTTCTGCTATATGCTAGCTTAAGTTCCAGTGTTATATAAATGTGCCTTTTGCTCCTAAATTTCCCTACTTCTTTGACATAACCACAGAGTCAGGAAAAAAAATCTTTATTTTATGTATCTTAACTTATATACTTTGACACATTATAGGCAGTTTTTCACTGGTCTGAACTTATTTTAATACAGTAATCTATAATAAATCTAACTATGGCTGTAACAATTTCAGATTCAGCAGTTTTAAAAAATTCTGATCTTATCACCAGCTGCCCCCATGGACAAGAATGAGACTATGATGTCTATAGCGTGTAAGCTTCGATTTATACATTACACTTAAAGCATAATGTAATTTCTTCATATTTAAATTTGCATCCTAGGCACTGTAAATTGTAAACTATGATTTATAGATTTTTGCTCTACGTGACCAGGACATTTTTAATTGCTCATTAAAACAAATCTTGGCTTGCCATTTATATCCATACCAAACCCACTTTACTGAATAGAGGCATATAACTCTGGAGGGGCGGAGGACTGAATTTAATCATAGATGCTTGATAGAAGCCTGATTCCCTAACTGTATAATAATTATCCAATTGTATTTCATTTAAAACATAACCCAACTCTCACATATTTAATTATTTTTGTCTCCTAGTCAATTAAAAATTACAATTTGGAGAATATTTTATTGAATACAATACAACCAATATTTTGAGGAGCCACAGACTGGATCTTTCTGCTGCTGGTCCCATGAATATCAAAATCTCATAATTGCTACTCATAGGAATTATGCCAAATATCACTGAAAATCAGCAAACTAGATATACTGATCCTAACAGAAAATCTCACTTGCCTTTATCTGTCAACTGAACTGTTCATTTTGTTCCAAATGCTTCTGCACAGTACTTAATAATGGAAACATTTCTAAATAAAGTTCATTGACAGCATGATCAAAAGTACAAATGCAACTTGTAATTACTGCCCCCAAAATAACCAGAAATCCTATTTCTGACTGGAACCAGTTGGCTGTTTTCACATTACAGGTAAAATTTCCCTCAAGTTGAGCTTCAATGTTTTTCTTTTTTTCAACAAATAGGGTAGTTTCCATTCCTTTTCCCAAGTTTTTTTTTTTTTTTTTTTTTACCAATTTTATTTATTTATACAAATTTTATACTTAAAGCTTTGGAATTTTTGTATGTTCTTCAAACCAAAAACTAACTAGGGTTAGATCTTTTATTTTTAAGATCAGCCATGGTTACATAGGTGCTGTCTCCAGTTTATTTCCTTTTCTTAGTATTGTTTGTTCTTTATACCTGTAAGTGTCTCAGTAGAAGATAGACTGTGTTATACAAACTGAAAGATTCTAAGGTAGCTGAACAAAACCATTGTGTTTCAAATACATGCAAAATACTTACACATTTGAGGCATCATAGGAAAATTTACCTATCTTTTCAAACATATGGTTTATCTCATCATAGTCCATGTAAAACCTGCATTAGGAATATACAATCCCACATTACAAATATATTTTCTGGACATAGTTGTAAGCATATAATTGAGTTTTTGGTATTTAATTGATGAGTCCAGACTGATACACAACTAACTCCTCCCACCAAAGAATAGTTTTCATTAGTGGAATGAGGAGATATATTAAGGAGAGATGGTTTTAAACTGGAACAAAGACATCAATAACATGCATTATGCTACTAACACTACCGCAATAGCTGGAAATACAAAGGATCTGGAAGTCAAGTACTAAAAGTCAAAAAGCACAGTGAAAAAAATGGGACTAAAATTAAATATAAAGACCACAAAACTAATAATGACAACAGGTAGAATAAGAGTCTTAGAATTGACAATGAAGATTCTGAACTGGTGGATAGCTTCTACCTTTTAGGATCAACCACCAACAGTAAAGAAACAAGCAGTCAAAAAATACACTGTAGACTAGTACTCAATACAGCAGATATGAGGCTTTGGAAAAGATATTCATGTGCCATATGAGGCTTTGGAAAAGATATTCAAGTGCCAATACAGCAGATATGAGGCTTTGGAAAAGATATTCATGTGCCATCATGCAAGCCAGGTACTCTATGGAAGCAAAAAAATGGATTTTTAAGAAGCAAGACAGAAAAAGTACTGACACCTTTGAACGTTGGGTGTTGGGAAAACTCCTGAGAATATCATAGACAGCCAAGAAAACAAACCAATGGATCATTGAACCAATCGATCCAGAGTTGTCACTCAAGGCACAAATGACCAAACTCAAATTATTCTGCACTTCATATACATTATGTGTGGACCTATCTCTCCAAAAAAAGTCTCTAATGCTGAGAAAGATAGAACAGAAGAAGAAAATGACTAGCGGCAAGGTGGATGAACTCAGTTAGTGGCAATGAATGCACTATTGGAAGTATTGAAAAAAACAAGTTAGTGACAGTCATCATGGAGAAAATCTAGCTATATGGTCATTTAAAGTTGAAAATGACTCAGTGGCACATAATCAGTTAGTGAATCCTGAATTCATTTAGTGAATCATAAATTATAGTTATTGTGCAAACCTAATAATTTGTGGCTTATTAAATCATTTCCTATTAAATAATAGTTAAGACCATGTGTCTATCAAGTCTTTGAAAATTCTTTTATAATTTCAATATGATTTTAATTTGACTTTGTTTGTATCATAGGCTTTATTTTAAATGTAGAATCTTTAACATTCTTACTGTGCAATTGGGTTTACTCAGAAGATTGCACATATGAAATCATTTGAGCTTATTTTCAATAAATTAGTTGGATCTACTGTAGTCATACTAGCAACTACAGTTTATTTTAATACTCCTTATACACAAAAATGAATGGGCTAAAACCCCTAGAGTTTTCCAGAAACATACCTTGGAAGTGTTCTTTTTTTCAGATTATTTAGTTTTAAGACTTCGTCTTCAATTGATACATTTAAGTTGCAAAGAGCCTTGAAGAATAATGAGTCCTTATTTAATTTTCAATACAACATAGCAAGCAGTTATGTAGAAAATACATGATTGAGAATTGAATGCCACAATTCATATTTTGCTTTATATTTGTTTCCCATTGACAACTATTCACACACACACACACACACACACACAAATATATGTAATGAGACATCAAAGATCAAAATGGTGCCTAAACTAAAATAGTTTTATAAACTTAAAAACAAATAAATTCACTTTTCTTGTTGGAATTAGTTGATTAGAGTACTAATATAGAATATATATGCATTTATTTTTATGACCAATTTTAATTAATTAAATGTAGAATCATTTGTATGTTACCCCTCAGGTTAGAATTCTAAAACAATAAAGTATCAATAAAACTAGTCCTGATGTTTATTTTAATTGTATTATTTTGTTACATTTTATAGTTTATTTTACTGTTGAAATAACCTTTTCTGAAATCCTTAAAATGCATTTCTGATTACTGAAAGCATAGATTGCATTAATGAAAACTCCAAATAGAAAGCAAAGAAATACAATACATAGTTTAACATTACCTGATTTAAGCTGTGGCAGGATTCTAATGAATGAGTTGTTTTCAGTTCCTTTGCTGTCTTTATGGCATCAATCAAATTGCTTCTTTTCTGTATAACAGCAACCTGGACGCTATGTATATCAGTTACATAGTAACTGGTGTTCATTACCAACTCTGCCTCAATCTTCCTTTTCCTGATTAGAAACAAATAAATTAGAAAATATGGTCATATCCTGGAAAAATACCACATAATTTGAGCATCTGAATAATTATACAATTATATAGCAATATAATATGTTTAATTATATAGCATAGAAAACTACACATTATCCGACTTAAAAATAAACTTATAAATTAATAGTCACAAAATAATTATATCATAAATCTGTTTATCAAACTCACATTTCTCTGAAAGATAAATAAAACTGACTCTGAAATATAGTCGCCTAGCATTTGAAGGAATGTTTCAAGAACACTTTGATAAAGAATTTAAAAGTAAACTAACTTTTAAATTAAGTGAAAGCATTACAATTACTCCAAGCTAACAAATCATACTATCAGAATAAGAATTACAACCTGAACAAATCAAGGTGGAACAAATAAAAGAGGAAGAAATAGTAGAAAAGGAAAAATGGAAGATAGTTATTTTGTAATATTTGTTTCCCTTTGCCAAAATCAAACCCAATGAGTAAACAATTTGAATAAATTGTCTTTTTCCACAATTTACTATAAAGTTAATCCATGCAGAAATACATACTGTAGAATTCAGACAAAATCAGTATCATAATTTTAAACATGTTACCTTGAGTTCAGAGAAGCCATACAATCTGTAAACTTGGCAGTAATAACATCTGCAATCTTGCTTTCTTCCTGTTTTGTTTTGGTGACCAACTGTTGAAATAGCTTATTCATTTTTTTTTAAAAAAAAATATATTAAAAACATATCCACACTTGCATACCTTGTCGACAGAATGTAAAAACAACATAAGTACTATTTGACTAGAATAACAAAAGCAACACAAAAATATCTTCTTCTAAGTGCTTTAGTGATAAATTTTAATAAGAGAATTTTGTTTGATATTTATTCAATACAGCTTTAACAGTTATAGTAATTAAATATTCCAAATGAAATGAAGACATAGCTAAATACAATAAAAAGTCATACACGTTTTCAAGAAGATATTGAATTTGCAAAAATATTCAGTGGTCAGAGAAAGTCAATAGGAATGTAATGCAATCAAAATCTAGTCAACACTCATGAATATCATAGTTGAAGTGCTCAGTGTGGTGCTTTAAAGCAATATAATTATGTACATGTAAATGCACACATTAAGGCACTTCTTCCAATGCACTTTCAGTAATGTAAAATTTAACAGCAGTACTTAAATTAGATGCAGAAAGCCATTATCAGCTCATAGTTTTATTTATATTTGTATTTGTGAAACATTCTGATCTTCTGAGAAAAGCACTAAATTTTCATGTTTTGGATTCAGGAATTTCAGGAAAAAAATGAAAAGAGCGTTTGATTTAAAGGGTATCGTCACAAGCAGCAGTATGAAAAATAGCTAATTAAATGATGTTAAGTTCTACCGATCATCCAAACTGTAGAAAAATGAGCCACAGCAAGCATTATATGCTTCTTGTAGCTTGCCTGCACAATATTTACTTTTTTAAAAAGTCTTCTTCATCCATTTTTCTATCTAGCAGAAGAGTGTGAAAACACCACTTGGCTACTAGAAAAAGGCATTATGGTTGTATGGTTTAACTAAATAAGCTTCCTAGAGTCCAGGTAGTCAAATTTTACACACAAGCAAAGATCATGTAATGCAGGGCTTTTCAACCTTTTCACCCATTGTACCACTTTTAGGATATGGCAACATCCGAGTACCACCAGTCGCCTAGCAAGGTGTCAGAAACTTGACCCCCCCAAAAAAGGAAAAAAGTGATAAAGTACAGGTAGTCCTCGACTTACAACTGTTCGGCTAGTGACTGTTTGAAGTTACAATGGCACTGAAAAAAGTGCCCCCCCAAGCCACAGCCGAGCAAGACACCTGCCTGCCCGCGCGGCGGCGCTCTTCCTCCTGTCCAAGGTTTTCATTGTTGTGAGCATTTCTGTCGAGCATCGGCAGCGGAGGTGGGGTGGGGGGTGTTTGGTTTTTATTCCCCCCGTCTGATGGATGGTTGCAGCAGGTTTTGGTCACTTCACATGACCCTGGGACACTGTGACCATCATAAATATGAATCAGTTGCCAAGCATCTGAATGTAAATCACAAGACCCTGGAGATGCTGCAACATTCCAGCTGATCGGCGCTTCTTCTGGGCTCAGCAGACGCGCCAGGATCAGTGCTGCTTTCCAGCTGATTGATGCTTCTTCAGGGCTCAGCTGGAGCCTGGCGCTGATCCTGCTGCTTCCACAGAACCCTGACAGCCCCGAAGAAACATCGATCAGCTGGAAAGCGACACTGATCCTGGCGCTTCCGCTGAGCCCTGACACCCCTGCAGCTCCAGCCATCTCTCGCTCAGGCTTGTGCGGTGCTGCCACCAGTTCAGCTCATTCCCCTCTCCTGCTACTTTTCTAGGATGGTTGCGTACCACCTGCCAGGTGCCAATGTACCACAGGTGGGTACTTGTACCACTGGTTGAAAAGCCCTGATGTAATGCAACCCCTGCTCCAGATTCACTATCATTTCTGACAGATAGTCCAGCGTGTTTGAAGATCTCTAGCCAGAAGTACTATATAACACATGTGGCAGTCTGTCCTACTGGCTGATTGCTCCTAAACTCCTTTAGCTTGAATGTACTTATTTCTATTATTCTATTAACACAAATGAGGATATTATTTGTATTTTCAGTATCTGCAAGACACTCCATTCTGTGCTTGTAATTCTGTTTTTCTTCTCAAATATAGAACTTTATTTATGTTAAATTCCATCCTTTTCATTTCAGTCCATTGCTCAAACCTGTCTAAATCTTTTGGAATCTTCTCTCTCTGCTCTACAGTATTAACTATTTTTCTCAACTCTATCATATACAAATTTGATAAATATCCCCTCAACTTTCTCATCCAAGTCATTAATAAAAATGTTGAACAATACATGGGCCAGAAAAGAGCCCTCTGGCACCTGCTATTTTCTTCAAAGGTGAGATGAAACTATTAACAAGCACTCTTTGGGTACAGTCATTCAGGCAACTGTGAGTCAGTGGCATTATTGAGATTTGTGAGATTCTAGAAAACCCTCTTGTTGTCACAATAAAAGAGGACAACATTTGCTGTACTCTCGACTCTTGGCAAAGTTAGATTCTCACAAGTTGTCTGGAGAATTGAAGTCTTTCATTATTACCATATTTTTTCAAAGATTGGTCATCTGACACAAAAAGGTTGCAATGGTATCTACTTGGTCAGAAGGTCTGTCTGATACCTTAGTCCAACCTTGTTATTAGATACTATACAGCAGACATGTCAAACACAAGGCCCGGGGGCCGGATGCGGCCCGCGAAGTGGTTTCATGTGGCCCGCGAAGCCATCCTGGAAACAGTGAGGGAATGGCCCCCACTGCCTTGGCCCTGGCCCAGGCTGGCCGGGAGCCAATGTACAATTTTGTGGTGGCCATCTATGCTGAAACACATTCAGTCTTAGCTCCACAAGGCCGTCTAGAAACAGCGAGGAACCAGCCCCTGCTGTGTCAGCCCCGCCCCCTGGGTGCATGCTGGGGAGGTGTCACCCTTTGTGAGGAATGAAGAAATGGACCATGCCTTGGTGCTTGCCCCGGTCCCACCCCCTTCTGCCAGAGACATTCAGATCTGTCCCATTCCTGCCCAGGCCCCCACAGGCACCCTTGACGCGAACGATGTAGAGCTGGCCCACCCAGTAGGCCCCACCCACCCTGGCCACACCCACCCGGCCCCCCGAGGGCAACCGCAATGCTGATGCGGCCCTCAATGAAATTGAGTTTGACACCCCTGTTATACAGTAACAGGCTATTAATTCCCTGGGGCTGACCTAATATCTGGTATTATCACTTCTGAAATTTACTTACCATCAAATGTTGAAGCAGTATTTTCAAATATTTCTTTTTTAAAAAAGGAAATTTTCAATTCCCAGAGTGTAAGAGCTGTTGGGAGATATAACAACTCATACAAAGTTTAGTTGGCCCACTTACCTCTTCTAAAGTCTTTAAATGCTCAAGGTTGTTTTTAGCCTTGTTGAGGGCTTTTTCTATGTCTTGCAGAATTTTGCTGTCCTAAGAGGAGTCAAGGGGAAGTAGTTAGAAGTGTGCTATTCTAGAACTCCGTCCATCCATGCATCAAATTTATATAACTCCCTATCTCACAAGTGACTCTATGTAGCATACAATAATTAAATAAAAATACATATAACAAAACAAGCCTTTCAAAATATAAAAAGCCAACATCAAAAAATCAGAAGTTAATTAACATTTTAAAATATATATAGAGAAAGAGAGGTAGGGAGAGAGAGAGAATGAGTATATCCACCTCAATAGTGGAACCCTGGTAACATAACCAGATCATAAAGGATTTCTGGAACATCAAGAGGGATGGAGCTAACCTAATTTGGGGGAGAGAATGTTCCATAAGTTGAACACCATGGCAGAGAAGGCTTGCCACCTAGGTCCTACCAAATATAAGTCCCTGGCAGATGGTATCTACAATATGCTTTCTCTGCTGGATCTAATGAGAATCGATCATATAATCGGAGAATAACAAAACATTTTGAACTAACAAGTCTAATTGCCATGACTTAACTTCTAGACAACTCTACCTGGATGACTAAGAATCTTCATTGACAATTGGAAAACTACAAATTTCAATTTTGACACTTAAAATTTCAAACTGCTCCATAATCTTATCCTCCATATTTAAATGACATGGTGAGAAGGAATATTGACGTTATTGAAAGGATACAGACTGCAGGGTTTTTTCTTTCTAATTATAGGAAGTATTCCACTAAAAGGCTAAACAAGTACTTTTTCTTAAGTCTATTAGTTGTTCAACATATTCTTATACACCAATTCTTAGCACGTAATGTTTAAAAGACTTAATATTTATGATGGCCTATTAAGAACACTGTCATTACATTTTGCACAGGTTTGGCTCAAAACACATTATTAGGTTTCAATTCTACATCTATCATTCTAGGAAGAAGCCTTATTATACTCAAATGGAACTACAGTAAAGCCTTTTTGTCCCAATTGAAGGGAAAGCCATGTGTCCATTAAGCCCAAATTTATGTAATTTCCATATATTAAAATGTATGTAAAATCATATTCTATACATTTTCCTTTATATCTAAAGTCCATTAAACAAGGATTAGTAGAGATTTTATCACACTTTCAAATAACAAATATGACAGTATCCAGAATCAGAGTATCTTTCAAATATGCTCTAAGACACTTTCATAATATTCACTTTGAAACTATGACTCATTATTTGCACCTAAAACCTAAAGACAAAATATCTTGGTATTTTATAAAAATCAGCATTTCTAGTTGCTGTGTTAACATGCACTTTAATAAATAGAAATAAAGCAGTTAGATTGTTCACATACCATATTGACTGTAGATGCCTTCAAAGGTAATTGATGAACTGTAGTCCAACTGGGTTGTGTACTTTCTTAATGCTGCAATCCTATAATTCTGTTAATCCTATAAAGTCAAATCAAGCTATATTTTTACATTTTCTTGAATTGCTGCACTTGGCTGAATGCTTACTAAAAGTGGATAAATTGAGAAAGTGATTTAAAGGAAGTTAGGAGCACACCAATGATTGCAATTGGTATTGGTCAAAAAGTAGAATACCTCAGGCATGTCAAACTCGCAATGTCACATAACGTCGCGTGACATATCGTGACTTTTTCCCCATTGCCAGCAATGGGGTAGGCACAGTTTCAGTATGATGCATCCGGCCCAGTCTGGCAGTTTGACATGCCTGCCTTACATAAAAGCATGTGTCTACTCATTTCACATGGAAGTAAAAGTTGGAAATGTTTTCAGCCAGTGGGATTCTTAAAAGTACTGTATATATTTATGGAAAATAAGAAGAGATGAGGTCAGGAATGAAATAGTAAAAAATAAAGGTGAACTATATTTACTAATTGTATACAACTATGCAATTAGTAAAATTAGTATATTTATATGGTTTGCTCGTGTAGAATGAAAATCAAATTGTAAAATGAGTATATAAAGAAAGAAGAGATGGGTTGAGAGGAAAAGAAGATGAATTTTAACAACAAATGATTCTCTGAACTGGCATAGGGAAATGGGGGATGATGTATGATTTACAAGGACATAAAAGGATTAAAAACTATAGTTAATAGTATTGGTGAAAAACAAAAAGGAAATCTTATCTCCTGCCTCCAATTTCTTTTGCTTACTATTTTCTTTCTCTTCTTCTGCACTTTGTATAACACTATCTATCCTAAAGGAATATGTTGTGCCTATATCACTCTTAATGGTTGGGTTCACATATCACGTTGCTCCAAAAATGCAACTGGTCTGGTTTCAATTTTGGATGTTGCATCAATATGCCATGAATCTATTATAAAAATGATGTGGTTCAGCACAATGTGTCTTCCCCATTTTGTTTCTCATTAATCTCATCATTCAAAATTCTTTCTCCATAACGATCCCTGCATTCAGCAAAGTTAATGTAGCCCACAAAAGCCTAAGCAAGAGTTAACTAGTTATGTATACTTTTCATTTTTTTTCTAGTGGTTATTCCAGCCCATGTCAATTTTTTTTCCACACAGATCTATCTTTTATGTTTATACAAATTAAGATGAACTTTTTTTCAAAATATCAAGCCATCTATTCTAAAGAAGTAAAAAAAAACTTCAACCTGTAAAGCATTTTTATAAACCTTAGACAGCCCTTTGAATGTTGCATAAAAATGCTTCATTTCAGTTTAATACAGGACCACCATGTGCTTTGTGCTGTATTGCTCTGAATGCAGCTCTCAGTATCTTAAAACATAAAACTACTTGGTTTTTCCTCCAAAACTGGATTTCTGAAGGCATGGGCAAAACCTGAGGCATACAACGAAGTGGTCAACCTTGTTTCTATAAAGAGCTGGGAAGTCTTAGTTCTTTAATATTCATTAAAGAGCACGGTGCATCTCAGTCCCAAATCAAACGCCCTCTAAAAATTTCAACTCCAGCTGCAGCATGTTCAGTAACAACTTCCATCATCCCCAGCCAGCATTGTTGTCGCACCGGGTATGGATGATAAGCAACTTCAACTGAAATCTGGCTCTGTGAGATTTGCCCCAAGCAATACATTCTTAGGGAAAATCGCCGCACCTTGCCAAATTCCTCCCCCGAGGAAGGAAAAGGGAATGGCTGGCCGAGAACCGGGCAGGGCTCCAAGTTTCACGATTTTCTGACGACCATCCTCCTCGTCGCTGTTAACGAAGGGGATGGCAGGAAAAGCAAAAGGTTCACCCCCCAAAAACTGAAGCGAGCCAAGGAAATTCCTCGCCTCTTCCCTAAGCGAGCTCAACCAAGACCCGGCATCACGTTTCAATAGCTTATTAGATACAACAATTTCTAGACATGCTTACGGCAAACGTTAAGCTTCCCCAAGGATGGCGGGGATCGTGGCTAAGTGAGCACGTCCACAGGGCGGCAATTCGAAGCAGTCAATAAGGACACGTTGGATCAGGCCGGCCGCCTTAACACTGCAAGACGCCCAACTTTTCCAAACTCTGAACTCCGGGGGAATTTACACCCCCGTGTTACAAGATAATACCTGGGGGAAGAATACGCCGCTTGGCCTGGTCCCGCGTGTGCCTGTGGGACTTAGTTTCCGAGTTGCAACCCCCGTAACACAGCCTCGTTTAGCAACCGCGTTGGGTATTTTATGTTTGTGCTGCAAACTTCTCCTTCGTTTGGAGATTGGCCTCCGAGCAACAAGGGCGTGCTTGGTGCTTTTCCTTGCATAGAAACCTCCTCAAAGCGCCTCTATTACAAAGCAAGACGGACACCCCGGTTTGCCATCACATCACCTGCGGAAACGCTCAGGGAGCCCCGTCGAGTTGGTACTCCGCTCTGCCGGCACCCCTCGAAGGGAATCTTCCACCGAGCCGAGCCTTGCCTTATCTACCTTCCGGAAAACCGGAGAATGGCGCCATTTTTACTTGCGTTCTTGCGTTTTATTCAACCAAAAATACCACAATATCGCGCTAATTAGTCAATAAAACTAACCAGCAGTCACCTATCCCCTTTCCCCCCTATTTCTTTGCTTTACTTGAGTGACACTTCTTTTTCCACCAATGGTAATGCCTTAGCGTCCTTGAGATAACCAATCGCTGTACCGCAAGCGCCCTAGAAACTGGCTGGAGAAGGAGGTCCTTAGTCGAAATGTTATTAGCTGTGTCGGGCTATATTAAGAAGTAACTTTTATTACCACAATGTTGACCTTTAGGTTTCAAGGCTCCATCTATTAGGAACTGTCATAATATATATTTTTTATAATTGAGAGATAACTGTAGGCCATTGTGGGAAGAATCCAGAGAAAGAAATATTTTGGGAAATATTAAAAAGGCAGAATATATTTTCCCAAAGGGTTTTAAAGGCAGAAACCAACCCCACCCCACCCTCCAAGTCTCTCTGCCCCAAACAGAAACCTGGTCTGCAGAAATGCATATATGATAGTCGTGTCAGAAAGACTGGAGTCAGGAAGCTGGGATTTGAAAGAAAGATCCCTAGAATCAACACTCCCTCGCACCAAAAATCCAACAGTCATCAGCCACAACCCCAGGGAAGCAGAATATGACCTTTTGGGACATAATAGGATTAACCCAACACCATCAGAATACCAGAAAGGCACACTCAGACTCAGGTCAAAGTTCATGCCACAGGAACAACTCCAAACAAAAGCTCAAGAAGGTATAAAAACCCACCACTCTCTACTACATGTAGTCGGTTTTTCCAGAGCCATCTTTCTGTCTAGCTCTCCTCTTCGTGAAACTACAACCTTCTTTCTAAAGCAGTCTCCATTTTGATTATTCCTGGCTTGGACTGGACCCTGATGAAGATTTTTCTTTTGACACCATCTTTAAATTCCTAACACTGCTGAATTCAGTTTGCATGTGATATGAACGTGCCTGCCCTACCCCCTGTTCTTAAGCAAAATATTTCTGTAAAAATGTAGATAGTTTACTTATTTACAGAAAAGACCACTGATTAAAGGGTTATACCAGTACCAGTTTAACTTTTCAATAGGTG